TTTCTGATGCCTGTGATCTCTCCATTTCTGAGTTGCAATACTGTTTCTGATGCCTGTGATCTCTCCATTTCTGAGTTGCAATACTGTTTCTGATGCCTGTGATCTCTCCATTTCTGAGTTGCAATACTGTTTCTGACTGTGATCTCTCCATTTCTGAGTTGCAATACTGTTTCTGATGCCTGTGATCTCTCCATTTCTGAGTTGCAAACTGTTTCTGATGCCTGTGATCTCTCCATTTCTGAGTTGCAATACTGTTTCTGATAAATGTAGCAGTGATCTCTCCATTTCTGAGTTGCAATACTGTTTCTGATGCCTGTGAGATCTCCATTTCTGAGTTGCAATACTGTTTCTGATGCCTGTGATCTCTCCATTTCTGAGTTGCAATACTGTTTCTGATGCCTGTGATCTCTCCATTTCTGAGTTGCAATATTGTTTCTGATGCCTGTGATCTCTCCATTTCTGTACCCTGTTCAACAATCTCCAAAATCTTCATCCTCAAATAATAGCAAATATAGAAAATGCATTTGATAGTAAAAAAACATCATGTCATCACAAAGAATAAACACGCTTTGCAATAAATGTAGCAGAAACAAGCTGCAGTTGCAGCAGTGAGATAGTTGTGATTTGATCACATTGGCAAGCTAAACAAAAAATGGCCACAAATGCTGTAGTTGTGTTTTTATAAATATATATATAGGCAAGGACATTTATAAACAATGCGTTACACAAACAATCTGCACATTCTAATATCTACAGAAGGAGACAGAGCACTTGGAGAATGTGTTCTGAGTGCTTTCGAGTTTAAACAGTTAAGGGACTAAAGAGTTTAAAAAATAAAAGATAAATTTCTGGTGAGGGCCTGGCATTAACTACAAGCCATAGCAAAAGATAAGACAACTGGTGTTGGTCGAGGGCCTAAGCTCCATTGATTGATTGAGGGCAGGAGTGGAAGAAAATCAGTGTTTCAACCTGCTGAGTTTTCTGTCTGTGGGTTGTTTCCCTCAGTGTTCTGTGATTGACTTTTCAGTGATTACTCTAATAGAAATTTTATAATTAAACAGACGAAACAAAAAGTGACAAAATAATGAAGAGTATCCTAAATTTGGATGTATTAAGAGTTCAGGTTAAAGTTTTTAAAACAGTACACTTACGTACAGAAATAACATGTACAGCTGGGAAACATCAGGTTAAAATACTGAGGTGACCATTATGGGGATAGGAGATAACCATGACAGTTACTGGTGGCAACCATGACAGTTACTGCAGGCAACCATGACAGTTACTGGTGGCAACCATGACAGTTGCTGCAGACAACCATGACAGTTACTGCAGGCAACCATGACAGCTACTGCAGGCAACCAGGACAGTTACTGCAGACAACCAGGACAGTTACTGCAGGCAACCAGGACAGTTACTGCAGGCAACCAGGACAGTTACTGCAGGCAACCAGGACAGTTACTGCAGACAACCAGGACAGTTACTGCAGACAACCAGGACAGTTACTGCAGACAACCAGGACAGTTAATGCAGACAACCATGACAGTTACTGCAGGCAACCATGACAGTTACTGCAGGCAACCATGACAGTTACTGCAGGAAACCATGACAGTTACTGCCGGCAACCATGACAGTTACTGCAGACAACCATGACAGTTACTGCAGGCAACCATGACAAGGGCAGGTATTCACATGGATAAGCTCCTACCATGACAGAGATAGATGGCAACCATCACAGGGATAGAAGAGATTACCCCCCCTTCTTTTTCTACCACCTCCTCCTAATACAGCATGGCTGTGATATTTTCACATTTCAACCGACATTTCAAACTTCTTTGGGCATTTGGTTAGCCCGCCTAGGAAAGAGGGGAGTAGACCTGGGACAAGGGTAACAATCATGACATGACTCAAACTAAATCTACAAAGAAAAACCTGTCGAGGTAGTCAAACCCTTTACCTGCATTCAGAAGGTCAAGGGTTCATTCTAAACAGTATCACTCAGCTCATGAGAGTATCCCCACTCCTTTATCAGTCTCTATGTACTCACAAACCTCATTCAAAAATCCCATACAGAGTGGCAAGCATGACTTTAGAGGTCCTAAGTAGTAAGTGTGCTTTGGATATTTCCTTCAGGGCAAGCCAATGTACTGGGAAATGAACATGCAGATAAACTGACTGGTACTGCATCACTTATGCATCACATGATGATCTAGATGTTGTAAGGGCTCTTTAGAAGCTAGTAAACAGTGCGGAGACACATACAGATTACCATGTTCTGAAGAGAGCTGTACAGTGAGAAGTGACCAGGGACCAGGCCGACACTCGACACCAGGGGAATTGGGTCGACACTCGACACTAGGAGATTGGGCCGACACTCGACACCAGGGAAGTGGGCCAAGGCTCGAGACCAGGGAATCAGGCCGACACTCGACACTAAGGGATCGGGCTGACACTCAGGGAATCAGGCCGACACTCGACACTAAGGGATCGGGCTGACACTCAGGGGATCAGGCCGACACTGGATACTCAGCGAACTGGGCTGACGCTCAGTACTCAGGGGATTGGGCCGACACCCAACACCAGGGGATTGGGCGGACACTCAACACCAGGGGATTGGGCCGACACCCAACACCAGGGGATGGGGCCGACACTCAACACCAGGGGATGGGGCCGACACTCAACACCAGGGGATGGGGCCGACACTCAACACCAGGGGATGGGGCCGACACTCAACACCAGGGGATGGGCCGACCTCAACACCAGGGGATCGACACTCAACACCAGGGGATGGGGCCGACACTCAACACCAGGGGATGGGGCCGACACTCAACACCAGGGGATGGGGCCGACACTCAACACCAGGGGATGGGGCCGACACTCAACACCAGGGGATGGGGCCTACACTCAACACCAGGGGAGGGGCCTACACTCAACACCAGGGGATGGGGCCGACACTCAACACCAACACCTCAACACCAGGGGATGGGGCCGACACTCAACACCAGGGGATGGGGCCGACACTCAAAACCAGGGGATTGGGCCGACACTCAACACCAGGGGATGGGGCCGACACTCAACACCAGGGGATGGGGCCGACACTCAACACCAGGGGATGGGGCCGACACTCAACACCAGGGGATGGGGCCGACACTCAACACCAGGGGATGGGGCCGACACTCAACACCAGGGGATTGGCCTACACTCAACACCAGGGGATGGGGCCGACACTCAACACCAGGGGATGGGGCCTACACTCAACACCAGGGGATGGAGCCGACACTCAACACCAGGGGATTGGGCCGACACTCAACACCAGGGGATGGGGCCTACACTCAACACCAGGGGATGGGGCCTACACTCAACACCAGGGGATGGGGCCTACACTCAACACCAGGGGATGGGGCCTACACTCAACACTCGGGAAAAAGGCGAGCAGACATAGACAGTTACTGGTACCATCTCTGCACTAACTTGACTGGAAACATAAAACATACAGGTCTACATACAGGTCTACATACAGGTCTACATACAGGTCTACATACAGGTCTCTAGAGCATTTTCTTTTGACTGAACAATTCAACAAAATTTTCATATTTAATTATAGAACTTAATTATATCATGATCAACATCATCATGAACCACTTCTGCCGTTAAGCGTCGTGGGGAGGAATAATTTGCGATCCAGTGCACGTTGGCTGCCACTGGCTATTGTCATGCCGTGAAGGCGTAGAGTGTCTTTAATGTTGTCGATCCATGTTTTCCGCGGCCGTCCTCTTGCTCTTGTAGTTAATCTTCTGAGATGTCGTGCTTGTGATGGTATTTGATCTTGCTGCATTCTAGCGAGATGGCCAAACCACTTGATCTGCTGTTTCTCGATGAATCTAGTACAAGGTGTCGTTCCCACATTTTGCCTGATAGTTTCATTATTCACTTGATCTCGGATGGTTAGGTTGGCTGCTCTTCTCAAGCAAATTATATTAATTATATAATTGCAAAAATAAAACAAATATATACATATATGTTAAACAAACAACATCTTAAAGTTATAATGAACATTTATTTTAATAACAAACACTTAAAATTTGATACTTTGAATTTTAAGAAAAATCTTAATATTTTTAATGGATCAAGTTTCTTCTTAACAAGATCTGTACATGTCAAAGAAATAAGACTGCCTTCTACCGCCTGATGCCCTACGGAAAATGGCTGAAAATCCCTGATTAAGAAACACGACTGACAATCAGAAAGCCATGTTTTACACACAAACAGCATGTGAGTACATAAACACAGTGATATCATGTAAGCATTGGTGCTAGCAAGACATTAAAGACAGAAATATAATGAATAAAAAAAAAAAAAGAATATCAAAGGTTCTGGCTTCCTTTTCAAAACAACGCTTTTACCATCAGCATCCAACCAGCTGTGCTAGCCCAGAATATATGTCCCCAGTAAAACACCACAGTCCGCCTTGCAACTTCTGGTCTTCTCCTGGGATGCTGCAATCATTTTGTGAGGTACTTGAAGCTGCAATCCATACTGTCCAAATGACTGATGCACACATCTTGTCTGAATGACTGATGGATACATCTTGTCCAAAAGAATGATTGACGCAGGCATCTTGTCTAAATGAATGATTGTCGCAGACATCTTGTCCAAATTAATGACTGACGCAGACATCTTATCCAAATGACTGATGGATACATCTTTTCCAAGTGAATGACGTACACAATGAATTATGTTTACTATGCCATGAGATAACATCTTATTCATACAACACCCCCCCCCCCCCCTTATATATGAAGACCCCTCCCTCCCCCACGTTTAAATGACCAGTATACACATTATTTCAATGATAAATGCCCCAATTTTGTTCAATGATTATGTTCAACTTGGCTGATTCATGTACACAGTTTATTCAAACGTCTGAGTTCAATAACTAGACCAAGTATCTCAGGGATGTTCACATCATGATGTGTAATATGTGATGTATGGCCTCCATCCACTTACTCAAGCAAGTCCTGTGAAGAAATGGCAGGAAAAGATGTTTAATCATCAGCATAAAATGTAGTGTTCTAATCAAGTAACTGAATATAAGGTTAGATGTGTTCAGCGTAATTGCCAAGTATTTTCAACATGACAAGTGTGTTGTACATGATAAGTGTGTTGTACACGACATATGACAAGTGTGTTGTACATGACAAGTGTGGTGTACATAAGTGTGTTGTACATGACAATTGCGTTGTACATGACAAGTGTGCTGTACATGACAAGTGTGCTGTACATGATAAGTGTGCTGTACATGACAAGTGTGCTGTACATGACAAGTGTACTGTACATGACAAGTGTGCTGTACATGACAAGTGTGCTGTACATGACAAGTGTGCTGTACATGACAAGTGTGCTGTACATGACAAGTGTGTTGTACATGATACGTGTGTTGTACATGATAAGTGTGTTGTACATGACAAATGTTTTGTACATTACAGGTGTGTTGTACATGATAAGTGTGTTGTACATGATAAGTGTGTTGTACATGACAAACGTTTTGTACATGACAGGTGTGTTGTACATGATAAGTGTGTTGTACATGATAAGTGTGTTGTACATGATAAGTGTGTTGTACATGATAAATGTGTTGTACATGATAAGTGTGTTGTACATGATAAGTGTGTTGTACATGATAAGTGTGTTGTACATTACAAGTGTTTTGTACATGACAAATGTTTTGTACATGATAAGTGTGTTGTACATGATAAGTGTGTTGTACATGATAAATGTGTTGGATGTGACTGACAAGTGTGCTGTACATGACAAGTGTATTGTACATGATAAGTGTGTTGTACATGATAAGTGTGCTGGATGTGACTGACAAGTGTGCTGTACATGACAAGTGTGGTGTACATGATAAGTGTATTGTACATGATAAGTGTGTTGTACATGATAAGAGTGTTGTACATGATAAGTGTATTGTACATGATAAGTGTGTTGTACATGATAAGTGTGCTGGATGTGACTGACAAGTGTGTTGGACATGATATGTGTGTTGGACATGACATGTGTGTTGGACATGACAAGTGTGTTGGACATGACATGTGTGTTGGACATGATAAGTGTGTTGGACATGATATGTGTGTTGGACATGACAAGTGTGTTGGACATGATATGTGTGTTGGACATGACAAGTGTGTTGGATGTGATATGTGTGTTAGACATGATATGTGTGTTGGATGTGATATGTGTGTTGGACATGATATGTGTGTTGGACATGATATGTGTGTTGGACATGATATGTGTGTTGGACATGACAAGTGTGTTGGACATGATATGTGTGTTGGACAAGATATGTGTGTTGGACATGATATGTGTGTTGGACATGATATGTGTGTTGGACATGACAAGTGTGTTGGACATGATATGTGTGTTGGATGTGATATGTGTGTTGGATGTGATATGTGTGTTAGGCGTGATATGTGTGTTGGACATGATATGTGTGTTGGACATGACAAGTGTGTTGGACATGATATGTGTGTTGGACATGATATGTGTGTTGGACGTGATATGTGTGTTGGACACATGTTGGACATGACAAGTGTGTTGGACATGATATGTGTGATGGACATGATATGTGTGATGGACACATGTTGGACATGACAAGTGTGTTGGACATGATATGTGTGATGGACATGATATGTGTGATGGACACATGTTGGACATGACAAGTGTGTTGGACATGATATGTGTGTTGGACACATGTTGGACATGACATGTGTGTTGGACATGACATGTGTGTTGGACATGATATGTGTGTTGGACATTATATGTGTGTTGGACATTATATGTGTGTTGGACATGACATGTGTGTTGGACATGATATGTGTGTTGGACATGATATATGTGTTGGACACGTGTTGGACATGCCAAGTGTGTTGGACATGACAGGTGTGTTGGACACAATGTTGGACAACTCCTTATCTGACTTCTTACAGTTGCCAATTTAATTCTTTTTATAATTAAGGCATGTTTATCAATAATATTTTGATCCCTCTTGTATTTTGAAGTTTTCATATGCTCTTTGTCAAAAGTTTGCCAACAAAGTATTCACAAACTATAACATTTTGATGATTTCATATACACTTTGTCAAAAGTCTGCCAACAAAGTACTCAAAAACTAATACATTTGATGATTTCATATACACTTTGTCAAATGTATGCCAACAAAGTACTTACAAACTATAACATTTTGATGATTTCATATACACTTTGTCAAATGACTGTTAATCAAGCACTTAAACACTATAATAATCCTTCAACAGCACTTGCCTCATCAGAATCGTCGTGGTAGGAGCTCACATGTGTTCGAGTGTTGCTTGTAGGGACGGCACCATTACGTTTAGGAGTCCTGTTCTCTTGTTCTAACTGAAAAATAAACAATATATGAATCATTCAAAGGAAAAGAGCAGAACATGGACATAAGACAAACCTCTGGCAACTATCCAACTTCTGTCCATGACTTCTATTTGTCTGCAGGTTGAAATCTGCCCATGTCTTGTGTCTGTCGGTGGTTTAAATCTGCCCATGTCTGTCTACAGACTGAAATCTGCCCATGTCTTGTGTCTGTCATCAGGTTGACATCTGCCCATGTCTTTGTCAATAGATTGAAATCTGCCCATGTCTTGTGTCTGTCATCAGGTTGACATCTGCCCATGTCTTGTGTCTGTCGGTGGTTAACATCTGCCCATGTCTGTCTACAGACTGAAATCTGCCCATGTCTTGTGTCTATCATCAGGTTGACATCTGACCATGACTTGTGTCTTTCGGTGGGTTGACATCTGCCCATGACTTGTGTCTTTCGGTGGGTTGACATCTGCCCATGACTTGTGTCTGTCGGTGGGTTGACATCTGCCCATGACTTGTGTCTGTCGGTGGGTTGACATCTGCCCATGTCTTGTGTCTATCCGTGGGTTGACATCTGCCCATGTCTTGTGTCTGTCGGTGGGTTGACATCTGCCCATGTCTTGTGTCTGTCGGTGGGTTGACATCTGCCCATGACTTGTGTCTTTCGGTGGGTTGACATCTGCCCATGACTTGTGTCTGTCGGTGGGTTGACATCTGCCCATGACTTGTGTCTGTCGGTGGGTTGACATCTGCCCAAGTCTTGTGTCTGTTGGTGGGTTGACATCTGCCCATGACTTGTGTCTGTCGGTGGGTTGACATCTGCCCAAGTCTTGTGTCTGTTGATGGGTTGACATCTGCCCAAGTCTTGTGTCTGTCGGTGGGTTGACATCTGCCCATGTCTTGTGTCTGTCGGTGGGTTGACATCCACCCATGTCTTGTATCTGTCCGCAGGTTGACATCCGGCTATGTCTTGTGTCTGTCTGCAGGTTGACATCTGCCCATGTCTTGTGTCTGTCGGTGGGTTGAAATCTACCCACCTCTTGTGTCTGTCCGCAGGTTGACATCTGCTGTCTTGTGTTTGTCTGCAGGTTGACATCTGCTTATGTCTTGTGTCTGTCTGCAGGTTGACATCTGCTCATGTCTTGTGTTTGTCTGCAGGTTGACATCTGCCCATGTCTTGTGTCTGTCGGTGGGTTGAAATCTACCCACCTCTTGTGTCTGTCCGCAGGTTGACATCTGCTCATGTCTTGTGTCTGTCTGCAGGTTGACATCTGCTCATGTCTTGTGTCTGTCTGCAGGTTGACATCTGCCCATGTCTTGTGTCTGTCGGTGGGTTGAAATCTACCTACCTCTTGTGTCTGTCCGCAGGTTGACATCTGCTCATGTCTTGTGTCTGTCTGCAGGTTGACAACTGCTCATGTCTTGTGTCTGTCTGCAGGTTGACATCTGCTCATGTCTTGTGACTGTCTGCAGGTTGACATCTGCCCATGTCTTGTGTCTGTCAGTGGGTTGAAATCTACCCACCTCTTGTGTCTGTCCGCAGGTTGACATCTGCTCATGTCTTGTGTCTGTCTGCAGGTTGACATCTGCTCATGTCTTGTGTCTGTCTGCAGGTTGACATTTGCTCATGTCTTGTGTCTGTCTGCAGGTTGACATCTGCTCATGTCTTGTGTCTGTTTGCAGGTTGACATCTGCTCATGTCTTGTGTCTGTCTGCAGGTTGACATCTGCTCATGTCTTGTGTCTTTCTGCAGGTTGACATCCGTCTATGTCTTAGGTCTGTCTGCAGGTTGATATCTGACCATGTCTTGTGTCTGTCTGCAGGTTAACATCTGCCAGTGTCTGTCTATTATGTAATCCCTTGCAGATTAATCTATCATGTGATCATTCATAAATGATTAAAGCGCACAGAAAAGAGAAGATGGTACCTCATCATCTGATAATTCAGTATACAGCGTGTCATGGGTTGTCAGTGCATTCTCGAACTCACTGTCTCTGTCGTCTGCTTGAGACAGCATGGAGTAACGGTAAACCACACGGCTGCAATTTGAAATCATTCAGGTTTGTTTTTAACTTGTATTTCTATCAAAGAAATTGTGAAAGGAGCAGGTGAAGACCACACACATAGAGAGAAAGGTGCAGGTGGAGACCACACATAGAGAGAAAGGTGCAGGTAGACACAGAAACAGAGAGAAGGCAGACAGGGACACTGATAAGCAAAGGTGGTGGGAGAGAGACAGAGATAAGGCAGACAGGGACACTGATAAGCAGAGGTGGTGGGAGAGAGACAGAGATAAGGCAGACAGGGACACTGATAAGCAGAGTTGGTGGGAGAGAGACAGAGAAGGCAGACAGGGACACTGATAAGCAAAGGTGGTGGGAGAGAGACAGAGATAAGGCAGACAGGGACACTGATAAGCAAAGGTGGTGGGAGAGAGACAGAGAAAAGGCAGACAGGGACAAGGATAAGCACAGTTGGTGGGAGAGAGACAGAGAGAAGGCAGACAGGGACACGGATAAGCAAGAGTTGGTGGGAGAGAGACAGAGATAAGGCAGACAGGAACACTGATAAGCAAAGGTGGTGGGAGAGAGACAGAGAGAAGGTAGACAGGAACACAGATAAGCAGAGGTGGTGGGAGAGAGACAGAGAGAAGGCAGACAGGGACACAGATAAGCAAGAGTGGTGGGAGAGAGACAGAGAGAAGGCAGACAGGGACACAGATAAGCAGATTGGTGAGAGACAGAAAAAGGCAGACAGAGACACAGCAGATTTGGTGGGAGAAGACAGCAGAAGGCAGACACACGAATAAGCAGAGTTGGTGGGAGAGAGACAGAGAGAGGCAGACAGCAGACAGGGACACGGATAAGATAAGCAGTTTGGTGGGAGAGAGACAGAGAGAAGGCAGTCAGGGACACGGATAAGCAGATTTGGTGGGAGAGAGACAGAGAAGGCAGACAGGGACACGGATAAGCACAGTTGGTGGGAGAGAGACAGAGAGAAGGCAGACAGGGACACGGATAAGCAGAGTTGGTGGGAGAGAGACAGAGAGAAGGCAGACAGGGACACGGATAAGCAGAGTTGGTGGGAGAGAGACAGAGAGAAGGCAGACAGGGACACTGATAAGCAGAGTTGGTGGGAGAGAGACAGAGAGAAGGCAGACAGGGTGGGAGAGAGACAGAGAGAAGGCAGACAGGGAGATAAGCAGAGTTGGTGGGAGAGAGACAGAGAGAAAAGGGCAAACCCAGCATCTGATATTGCAATAAACAAAAGCATGCTTGTTATAAACAAATAATTTCAAACATCTTCTTCTTTGCATTTCCCGGCTGTAAACTCCAGCACATTCTGGTTTACTGTCCACTCTTGCTCTTTGCTCTTGATCCAGAACTCGATTTTTGCGTGCAAATCCATTTTACAGATCTGGCATATTTGTATGCAAACTGCTGGCTCCACACCTCTCAGGCAGATGCACTCTGACTTGGAAAGAGACTGTTTTGACATGCTTGTTAGGGAGACAGTGTATCTACTCGCCTCCCCCACCCCTAACCCCCACAATGGGGCCCTGGAACCCACACATGGAATGACCATGATCTATTCAGGCCTTGACTTTAGAGGACTTTTTCTTGATGCTGTCCAAAGACTGTCATGTCTCATTTCAGATGTGACCCTTGATGCTGTCCAAACACTGTCATGTCTCACCTCAGGTGTGACCCTTGATGCTGTCCAAACACTGTCATGTCTCACCTCAGGTGTGACCCTTGATGCTGTCCAAACACTGTCATGTCTCACCTCAGGTGTGATTCTTGATGCTGTCCAAACACTGTCATGTCTCACTTCAGATGTGATCCTTGGTGCTTTCGAAACACTGTCATGTCTCACCTCAGATGCGACCCTTGATGCTGTCCAAAGATTGTCGTGTCTCACTTCAGATGCGACCCCTGATGCTGTCCAAAGATTGTCATGTCTCACTTCAAATGTGACCCTTGATGCTGTCCAAAGATTGTCATGTCTCACTTCAGATGTGACCCTTGATGCTGTCCAAACACTGTCATGTCTCACCTCAGGTGTAACCCTTGATGCTGTCCAAAGACTGTCATGTCTCACTTCAGATGCGACCCTTGATGCTGTCCAAACACTGTCATGTCTCTCCACTGGAGTGAGTTATAAGTTATGTGTGAGTTATGAGTTACATGATCTTCTCTGCACTCCGGACACATCCACAGGCGCTCAGTTTCCCCTCTCAACATATTCATTAGCGTTGTGCGGTTAATAGTACCAGTCCTATGTTGTTTAACAAGACTGTGTGTGTCCAGTGTGCTTCTCATGCTTGGCTGTGCTGATCTTTACTCCCAAAATCCTCAGAACTTCCTATCTCTCTAAGGGCAATGACAATGTCTGCGTGATCCATGGGCCTGCCATCTTCAATTAATGCAGTACCTGCCAGTCTATCAGATCTCTCATTACCAACAATGGGATGAATATGAAAGTAACTGCATGCACAGGAGAATTTTGCAATGACTCAAGCCACTGCGTAACCTGCCTGTCTCAACCCACCGGATCATGCTCAAAGAATCGCTCAGCACACACATGCGGAACAGTCCTGTGATCCCAGCCACATGAAAGCCTGTGTCACCGTCATCACCTCCATCGTCATGTTGCTAGTAGTCATGGAGAAAGCACGCTGGCTTCTTGAACTCTTCTGCCTGAAGAGCCAGCTGTAAATGCCCATGCACTCTTATGACCTCGTATAACGGACCCACCTTTAAGATCACCACATCTGTCTCATCTGTCTTGTCACTGATAAGCGCGCATACCTCGGCATTGACAGCAGCTGGATTCTACTCCCGACACAGGAGAATGTGAGACTGGACGCTTTAGACTCTGGTATCCACTCCTCACCTGGATGGATGTCTGTAAGGCTGCAAAACCTGCATGATGTCATCCTCTGCCCTACCTAGCCATGATTTGCCCTATTTAAGCCTATTTCTTGAAGAGCATGTGGTGCAAAGGGTGCTTCAGATCTGAGCTTATCTTGAGGTATGCACAAGCCCTCCGGATCTTGATCCTGTAGTTCACGGTAGGGAAGTCAAGAAGGTACCTCACTGCTACACAAGAAGTGTCTCCAGTGCATCCTAGATTAATGCGCATTGCTTCATTTTGCACCTTCTCAAGACTTTCAATCTGAGTGTGGCTGACAGTGAGGATGACAAGAGCACATTTGATGGGAGAAAGTACAAGTCCCTGGAACAGAAGCAGAAGCAGTCTCTGCTCAGCGTTAGTGGCGGCCAGGACCCTCATTGCTGACAGGCCTTTGCGTGCTTTTATTATGACATGGTCAACATGTTCTTTGAAGGATAGGTTGTGATCAAACCTCACTCTGAGGTATGACATCAATTTGTTCTCTTCAAAATGTCCTATGCATCCTCTAAGCCTAGTGCGGCTGCACATTTCTCTTCTCTCATCTGAAATACTTCATAGACTTCACAGACGAAGACTGCTGCATTGAGCCATGTCTCTTTGTTTCATCTGTATCCCCCAAGTGTGGATGTTAACCTGTCACGCTTCTCCAAGTCATCAGCAAGTCTATGTGCTACAATATTTTTCCAGAAGCTTGCCCGTAGTGTTCTGCATGGTAATGATTCTGTAGCCACTGTTTTTGGAATGGTCTTTATTTGGTTTTGGTAATGGTATTAGGTAGCTGTGTAGCCACTCCTCTCTGATTTGACCATTTCTGATGCTGATGTTGATCTCTCCGGCCAGTTCTGACATATCGTCCTCTGACATCTGCAGCATATCAGCATACTGGATGCCATCAGGGCCTTGTGAGGTGTTGGGCGATTTTCTGAGTGTTGCCCGTATGGTCTCAGTTGTAATACTGTAATCGTCACTTAGCTCTGCTTTTTTACACAACTCTGAAAGTGTTGACTTAACTCTCAGTCTGGCTGCCTCATCTTTCTGGTCGGTCTGGTCAAAGTAGCGCTGACGGAGAGCCTGCCCTTTATCTGCATCAGATTTCTGCCATGTCAGATTTGCGCTTTGAAAGTCTGGGATACCCCGTTGTGTTGTATTCACTGCCTGATGAAGTCGCCAAAATGTGACAAGAGACCCTTCAGAGAACACCTTCTCAATCTTGACCTGCTTTGCTCACAGCTTGAAAGCCATCGTTGTCTTATTGACTTTATCTTTCAGGTCACTCAGGATGCGATGTGCTACTCTTCCTGGCCTCCTGCCACACCTTGACAGCCTGCCTTTTTTCCAACCATGCCCTATCAACCTCTTCATCACACCATGGTGGCTGAGTCCATTTCTTTCTCTGTCTGTGGAAGGCATTTACTTTGCATCTTGTCCTGTGTTATCATACTGTAAAGTATTTACTCTGCTTACCTGACTGATTTTCCCGCTCTTCTCAACCATGACAACAAAGGGCAGGTGGTCGCTGTCATGGTACGCCAGTGTACTCCATCTACAAACAAGGGTGATGGTGGGCGACACTAGAGCCAAGTCAATCACACTGTGAGAGTCTCCTGGTCAAGTGGCTATTCTAGTGACTTGTCCGTCATTTAAATATACTAGTTCAGCAGATACCAGGGCCTCCTCCAGATCTTCCCCCTGTTTGATTGGTGATGACATTACACCACTGTCTGCCCTTGGCGTTAAAATCTTTGCAATAAATGATGTTTCTTTCCCTGGTGGCAAACAAATGTTGCCACTGCCGCACGTCAACCTTACCATTACAGGCGTAAACATTGACGATTATGAACTGGCCGGGGGCCAGCACTCTTACTGCGTGCACCTGCAGGACGTCATTGTTCCATTCAGACATGTCCACTTTGGACGCTATTATGCTGTCGCAAACCATAATGACTTGTCCGAGATGCGCCGATTGTAGAAGCACTGAAAACATGCAACTTTAACTGTCTCGTCTCCTAGACGGATTTCCTGTAAGGCTACGACGTCATTGCCGTAAAAAGGCTTCTCAAGAGTAGGGGGCCTCTGATTAAACGAAACAGTTCCAGTATAACACATGAACATATTTTAGGCTCAGCCTGTCACACTTTAAACATTTCCAGCAGGCACCAGCACGCTTGCCGATCTTTGTTCTTGTCGCCCGTCGTACAGTTTCCATGAATGAAATTTTACCACAAGACGCTGATGAAACGCCGATAGGAGACTGGGCACTTGTGCACGAAGCTCTGTAGCACAGCCCAGAACCCCATTATGTTCTGAAATATTACATTAGGTGTGACCTTTGATGCTGTCCAAAGACTGTCATGTCTCACCACAGGTGTGACCCTTCAGCACCAGTCTGGCACATTTAAAGGTCTTCTGGGCCGGTAGAGGGGACAAGAGAGATCCGCAGCAGTCTCTGTTGGGATGGTATTCCGGAACTAGGTCAAAGAAAATAGTCTGTCTACACCAATCTCACCCTTATGGATGTTTTCCTTTCGCAAAGCTTAGACAAAGTGAACATCGGCACAATGTTTATCTTCTCCATTTGCCCTTTAAAGGGCAGTTAGCACACTATTTTGTGGTTTACAGGGATGCTGTGATACGTGCACATTTTGGCACAAAAGATTCCATTTCTGCAACCCCTTAATTAGTCAACTTTTACAACATGTTTATTTGGGGCCTTTGTTTCTTTCTTTTTTTTTAAACCCAAAAGAGGCCCTAGAACCCAGAAAAAGAAAAACTCAAAACTCTGTCTTTCAGAGAGTATCAATCAACAACCAATCAATCACCATCATCTGTAAAAAACAACAACAAAAAACATGGGTCACAGACTTACTGTCGTCTCAGCACTATCATCTTGTGGAGAAAGAAAGCACCCACGGCCGACACCAGCACCACGATGGTAGCTATGACCATAATAACCACCACTTTACTGGACCCAGAGTTCTGGGGACATTACATAACTTAATATCAGAGTATGATTCAAAGATCCAGAGACAGCACATGATAACTTTAATATCAGAGTTTGATTCAAAGATCTAGGGACATTAAATGATAACTTTGTCATCAGAGTATGATTCAAAGATTTAGGGACATTAAATGATAACTTTGTCATCAGAGTATGATTCAAAGATTTAGGGACATTAAATGATAACTTTGTCATCAGAGTATGATTCAAAGATCTAGGGACATTAAATGATAACTTTGTCATCAGAGTATGATTCAAAGATTTAGGGACATTAAATGATAACTTTGTCATCAGAGTATGATTCAAAGATCTAGGGACATTAAATGATAACTTTGTCATCAGAGTATGATTCAAAGATTTAGGGACATTAAATGATAACTTTGTCATCAGATTCAAAGATCTAGGGACATTAAATGATAACTTTGTCATCAGAGTATGATTCAAAGATTTAGGGACATTAAATGATAACTTTGTCATCAGATTCAAAGATCTAGGGACATTAAATGATAACTTTGTCATCAGAGTATGATTCAAAGATTTAGAGACATTACATAACTTTAATGTCAGAGTATGATTCAAAGATCTAGGGACATTAAATGATAACTTTAATGTATGATTCAAAGATTTAGGGACATTACATAACTTTAATGTCAGAGTATGATTCAAAGATTTAGGGACATTACATAACTTTAATGTCAGAGTATGATTCAAAGATTTAGGGACATTACATAACTTTAATGTCAGAGTATGATTCAAAGATTTAGGGACATTACATAACTTTAATGTCAGAGTATGATTCAAAGATTTAGGGACATTAAATGATAACTTTAACATCAGAGTATGAGTCAAAGACCTAGGGACATTACATAACTTTAATGTCAGAGAATGATTCAAAGATGTACGCAAACTACATGAACAATTTTATATCAGAGTATGATTCAAAGATCTAGGGATTTTACATAGCTAAATGATAAATTTAATATCACAGTTTTATTAAAAGATCTGGGGATATTACACAATATTAATATAAGAGTTTGATTCACAGATTTAAGGACATTAAATGATAACTTTAACATCAATGATTCAAAGATCTAGGGACACTACATAACTTTAATGTCAGAGTATGATTCAAAGATGTAGAGATAGTACATGATAACTTTATTACATCCATGAATAAACAGTATCTGACATATGATATATATCCTTCACTTGATGAGATTGAATAACTCCTGTTACATTTTAACAGGGGTTCTGATAACATGTCACCTTTGGGTAGTCCCCGAAACACCTCTATAATAAATTTGGTACTGGTTGCAAATGTAATTGTGATGGGTATGAAATTGTATATATATATATATATATATATATATATATATATATATATATATATATAATATATATATATATATATATATATATATATATATATATATATATATATATATATATATATATACTATATTATATATATATATATTTTTTTTTTTTTTAAATAAGATATTAGTTGGGGTGAATATGTATGGTTTAGTCCTTTGCCCTCGGTTGCTGTATAACAAAATCCTTGTTTTATTGGTCAAAGGGAAAGTTAGCATATATTTCTTTACTCCATTTGTGTTTAGAAATTACTTCCCTTCATAAAAAAAAAAAAAACTTTGTTGAAATAAGGACTCAATATATCTTTTTAGTGATTTGGTGGCCGTAATGATGCAGTACTAACATGCTTTCGTGGTGGTCACATGTTTCAACCCCGTGGATTTTTATAAAATCGACCAAGACTCTAGTTTCTACCATTTCTTCTTCTCTTCTAATTTCTCACAACAGAGTTACAGACAATTATAAAATCAATTTCTTTTTAAACCTCATTTTTTTTAAACAGTCATGCTGAAAGATTTTTATGAAGTGAAATCTTTCTATTTCTTTAATGACACCACCATTACAACCATTTCTTTAATGACATCACCACTACAACCATTTCTATAATGAAACCATCACAACATTTCTTTAATGACACCACCACTACAACCATTTATATAATGACACCACGACTACAACCATTTCTAAAATGTCACCATCACTGCAACATTTCTATAATGACACGATTGCTGCAACATTTCTTTAATGATATTAACACTGCAACTATTTCTTTACCGATTCCGTCTGCAAGATTCTCAAAGCAATACAGATGTGCACACTGAGACTGAACAAAAATATTGCACAAACTGTCTCAAACAACTCAAAGTCACATCTACTCTTGACTTTTGACCATTACTGCTTGTGAGTTACATTTCTCCAAAAAATTTTGAACAGCAACAAAACCCTACCATTTTAGCCGGAGCTGTGAGTGAGAGAACGCCAGAAGAACTCTGTTCTGTGGGATGTGACAGCGTTGTGTTTGGCTGTGAAAATGCATCCTGGCAATTGTCAATAAAAAACATTTGAGTTAAGAGCTGGCAGGTGGATTATTAAGAGTCAAAATTTAAATGGAAATGTGCTCAGCAGTAAATCTGAATCTGACCTGAAACCAGTTTTGGCACGCAATTGGTTCAAATGATATGCCATCGTAATTAGTACTTTTGATTTATAAGCAAAATAAAGTGGTGGTTGTGTCCAGTCAAACACTGTTTTGATTCTTAATTCTCAGGTTTTCATACGGCTGAAAGTAGTCACTAGGTTTCTCTCTCATTGTTTCTCACTCTCTCTCTCATTATTCCTGACCTCTTTCTCTTATTAATGTTACTCCCTATTTCACAATCTATCACTGTCACAATATCTCTCTGTCAGTCTTTCTCGCTCTCTCTCTCTCTTTATGCCACGTCCTCTCTCTCTCAATAACTCACTCTCAAACTGTCTCTACTTCCCCTCCATTTTTCACTCTCCCCTGCTTCACACTCTCTCTGTGACTCCTCTCTGTCAGTCTCTCCTCCATCCCTCCCTCCATTTCAGTCTCTATATCACTCGTCCCTCCATCCACCCTATCTCTCCCCTTCCTCTCTCCCTTTCAATTCCCTTCACTCTCTCCTTCTTCTACACGTTCACCAGCTGTAAACTCCAGCAAAGCTCTACATGTTCGTCCACCTCCAGACTTTAGTCTTATTCAGAACCTGTTAAGTGCACATCCGTTTCACAAATCTGACAAATCTAATTTATCTGTGTGCAGATTGTTAGTTCCTTGCCTGTCAGGCAGATGTACTATAACTTCGAAAGAGCACACAATCAGTTGACTCCTAGGACATGCTTGCTGGGGCATCATTGGATCTGTTCTTGTTTTCCCCCACAATGACTCCCCTCAGTCTCTAGCTCTCTCTCTCTCTCTGCATGCTCATACAGGACTGCGTGTTTCTGCCATCCTCACCTACATAATGTATAATCTTTCAGGTGGTTAAAAGAATTTCACACAGACAACAGAAAGCAAAATCACCACATGTCATGACAACAACTGCCCGTATGAACACACCTGGGAAGGAGAGACTAAGTTATGGTGTTTGACCTGCTGATCTCCGGCGCTGCAAATGACCTCCAGTTCTGTGATTTCACTGACCGGATGAAAGCCAGTGTCCTGCCTGCACACATCGCCAGGGATCAGACGATACCTGCAGAAATATCTCAAGCATTATGTTAAAGTTCAGAGTTCAAGAACTGGCTACAAACAGGTTAAAGTTTTCAGTTCAAGGACAGACCATGGTGAAGGCAAAACACATATGGCCACAGTTCAAGGACATAAGGTACAATGAGGTAAAATATAAGAAAAACCTGGCCTAAACCTGTCAGGGCCTTAAATGTGTATAATAATTTAGTTCTGTCCATTCCTGAATGTATATGAGAGAGGGACAGCAAGAGAGAGAGAGAGAGAGAGAGAGTGGTGGGTGGGGAAGATAACAAGAATGACAGGAGAGAGAGAGAGGGCTAAAAAAAAAAGAGTGACATGGAGAGTACACAGGGTCATGAAGGTGTACAGATGGAAGCACTAACACACAAAACCCACTTTTCACCTGTTGAACTAGTGAATAATCATTCAGTCCAGCTCATTTCTTAATGTTGTCATTCCAGATTCTTCTTTGCCCCCCTCTCCTTTAACTAACATGGTGAGTACAATCCACATTTAACAATTTAACTACAACAACCACAAGATACGTTTAATTAAGAATGTAATAAACACATATTTGTAGTTATGAACTCAATTACCCAACAGTCTTCAAGTTCTCCAAATGACCTCCTTTGCATAGGTCAAGCTGATCGGGTCTAATGTCCGGCTGCCGCACACACTTCATGGAATTATCTGGCCGATGGAATCCATAGTCGCTGTCAGAGAAAACAAAATTCTATCCTTTCAATTTACACTTTTTTTTGAAAAATTAATTCAGACCATAAAATGATTACATGTGATGGACGATGGAGTCGCTGAGTTACTTAGCAGGTTCATATTGTGTTAAACCTCACATCAGACTGACTGAGTCAGCCTGATAATCGATTATGTTTGACTAAATAACTCAAAACAGTTAAACCATAGATTGTAAACATTTTAAGTGGATAGTTAAGCTGACACAGTGAGCTTTTTAGACTCATGTAAATGAATGAAATGGTCAATTTAAAAAATGTAAACAGGTTATGTAAATGCTTTTGCAGGTTAAATCATAGGCTGTAAATATGTGTGAATGCTTTTGTAGGTTAAATCATCGGCTGTAAATATGATGTGTGAATGCTTTTGCAGGTTAAATCATCGGCTGTAAATATGATGTGTGAATGGCTGAGTTGGTTAAATCACAGAGTGTAAATAAGATGTGTGAATGCATTTGCAGCTTAAATCATTGGCTGTAAATATGATGTGAGAATGGCTAAGTTGGTTAAATCATAGGCTGTAAATATGATGTGTGAAAACTTTTGCAGGTTAAATCATAGGCTGTAAATATGATGTGTGAAAACTTTTGCAGATTAAATCATAGGTTGTAAAAATGATGTGTGATTGCTTCTGCAGGTTAAATCATAGGCTGTAAATATGATGTGTGAATGGCTGAGTTGGTTAAATCATAGGCTGTAAATATGATGTGTGAATGCTTGAATTGGTTAAATCATAGGCTATTAATAGGACGTGTGAATGGCTGAGTTGGTTAAATCATAGGTTGTAAATATGACATGTGAATGCAGAGTTGTTTAAATCACAGGCTGTAAAAATGATGTATGAATGGCTGAGTTTGTTAAATAACAGGCGTTAAATATGATGTGTGGATGACTGAGTCGGTTCAATAAATAAACACAACTTCAGAACACAATGACTGTAACAACAACAACAACAAAGTTCCAGTCAGCAACAACAACAACAACAACAAGATAGTTCAAGTCAGCAACAACAACAACAACAACAAAGTTCAACTCAGCAACAACAACAACAACAACAAAGTTCAAGTCAGCAACAACAACAACAACAACATCAAAGTTCAAGTCAGCAACAACAAAACTAACCACTCATAATCCTCCTCTGTGCAATTGCAGATTTCTGTTGAGACCTCCATGTCTGTGTAATTGTTGCTGTGGCACCTGGAGAAGAAAAAAAAAATGACAATAAATTTCATCATTTTAAAAAGGCGAAAAAACTGGACAGAAAAAAACCTTGTGAGAACCATAATGGAAAGTTTTATTTGTTGATAATGACTCCAGTCAAAATGTTAGACTGTATCCTTTTTGTCAAAAATCACATAGTAAATGAAAAGAATACAATGGAAAAAGCGGCACAGAAGACAGATTCAGAGCTAAGCATATAAGAAGAAATGTGTTAAATGCATGTGATGGAAACAATGGTTGTGAAATCTCATGTGGAAGATCCTTTTTAACACGAGCGGGTCTTGCTGGTGATCTTCGCCATCGCCACGGGCAGTGGCTCATATGCCACCCAACAGCACAATGGAACATTACTCTTTTTCTTCACTTCCTCGTTTACCACGTCGGGATGTTGAGCGAGATATAAGGTTCTACATCTTGCCTTTCTGGCTGCCTTGACCCTAGACACATCGTGCTGTTGTAGAGTTTTTCTGATGTTATCTTTCCATATTGTTCTTGGTCTGCCTCGTGCTCTTCGTCCATCACCTCTTTTGATATTAGCTGTGTATGGTATATTGTCACAAGGCATTCCCTCTAAGTGGGCAAACCATCTTTGTATGCAACTTAGAATTGGTTCTGTGCAGATTTTTTCTCTTGTGACCTCATTCCCGATTTTACCTCTTCTGTTCACTCCTGCAGCCCTTCTCAGACATCTCATTCCTGTGGTAACTAATTTTCTTTTATTGTTGGTTGTCAGTGACCATGTCTGGCACTGGCAGCCTAGAGTGGGAATAAATATGCTTTGTATGAAATGTTTTTTCATGCTGACTGTGACTGTCTTATGCTGTGAGAGGGAGGTTAGCTGTCCCAATACTTGGTTTGTTTTACCGCATCTGATGTTAATTCCTTCATCCAATACCCCCCCCCCCCCACCCCCAACACTAAAGTCATCAAAGGTTTCTTCTTCTGCATTCACCCTTCAAAGAGCAGTTGGCATGTTGTGTTGTGGTTTACAGCTAAGGTGTGATATCTGCACTTTTTGACCATAAGAATTCAAAAAACCTAATTCTCTTTTCTTTGTCCAACTGCTTGTGTCATAAAGTGTCGCACAGAGGAGTTAGATGCAGTTTCTTGTATGTTGCTAGTTGTTTAGCTTGTGTTAATGTGGTTTTTTCCCCCCTCTTTTTTCTTGAGCAGATGCATTTTCTGAACAATGAAATTCTCTAATGACCAACTGGGCCTGCCCTTGAATCATTTCTAACCACACAACTTACTGAACAGTAATACTTTTTTTTTTCCAATTAACAATACAAAGGAAAAACACTTGCCTCCAAACCCTAACTTGTTGCCGTTAATGAAATACTTATTGAGGGCCAGTGGGTCTATTCTCTGCCCCATCCTTTCCCCAAAAATGAGGGGACAGAACCCATACAAGTGGGATCTGACTGAGATCGGAATGAATTAAAATAACATGTTTGGAACTGGGGTTGCGGTGAAGAACAGTCATCACCATCACGTAGCAGAACATCGCTCTCATCCTGGTCTGCCAGAAAGCTCAAATAAACTTGGCCTCTCACTAGCTCTCTTACCTTGTGCTCTGCCCACCTTTGTATTGGTCGGCCCCTGCCCCTTTCTCCTAGTACCATGTCTTCTGCTATTATATATTTTTTTTTCCAATCCATTGTCATGCCTGATATGGCCAAAATATTTTAGCTTCCGAGAAAAGATGATGTTTATTAGCCAATCTTCCTTGATGTTCAGATTTTTTAAGATCCCAGTATTTCTTTTCTTCTTTGTCCATGGTATTCTGAAAATCTTTCTATAGCATTTCAGCTCCAAAGCCCTTTTTTTCTTCCTTAAGGACTGCAAGATAGTCCACGACTCACATTCGTATGTTGCCACAGGAAAGATGCACGCTCTCAAAACTCTAGCTTAGGACATCTTTGCTGGTGCTTATACATTTAATGCTGCCTGATGCAAACAAGACATAAACAGTTATTTTATGCGACAGCAGCTGACAAGATGCATACCAAGAGTCAGATTTGACCTTCTTAAATGTGTACTTGGTGCCAAGCAGGCAGCCCTCAAATCCTGGTTTCCTGCTCAAGCTTGTGTGAGGAGCCCAGGTCATGTAATCTTCTTCTTTGCCTGTGTACAAGATGTGAAAGTGTGACAATATCAAAGTTTCAACAGAGATCAAATACAATAAGCAAATTAAAAAAGTGTTTAGTTAACACCGATTTAAGAAACGTTATCAATGCACGCTGGGTTTACAAATAGAATCTACGTCTCCAGCAGCAAATGTCGCAAGATGTTTATACATCTAAATCACATGTTTCGATTATTTATTTATTTTTTTAATCATGTCAGGTGATTTAAAAAAAATTTTTTTTTAAACTAGAGATACTTTTTTTTTGTTAGTCACAACATGTAAAAACCGACATAACAATAACTTTCATTGCGTGCCACCACAGTTGATTCTGTCAAAAGACTGAAGTGTACTAGGTTTTTTTTTTAATGAGTTTCAATTTTTAGTTTAAGTAATCTCAGCAGAGAAAAGAATTGATTTTTTCTGGATCTATGATTATTGGTTAAATAAATAGCGCAGGGTGAAATCAATATTATAAAATGGGCACTTTCATCTCATTTACCAAAAAACTGTATAAATTATTCATCTGCATACTGCTGCAACTATCAACTTACATTCCCTGGTCACCACCTTGCTGAAGTCGATGACGCTGACTGTCCACTTTTTAGTTTCCTTGTGGTAACCCCACAGTCCGAATGTCATTGACTTTCCACCAGGTTCCGTCAGCAGTCCAGTAAATCTGGCACATCAAAAACATAGCACTACCATAGTTAGCAGTCCAGTAAATCTGGCACATCAAAAACATAGCACTACCATAGTTAGCAGTCCAGTAAATCTGGCACATCAAAAACATAGCACTACCATAGTTAGCAGTCCAATAAATCTGGCACATCAAAAACATAGCACTACCATAGTTAGCAGGTGGTTAATATGGCATAATAAAATATATCAGAATAAATATTTATAAAGCAGAAAATGATACTGGACCAGAACAATGACAAAAGACTACAAGACAGAAATGTGAAATATAAGTTACACACAAAGACAGCAAATATAATGGTGTTCCCACCTAAACAGAATGCCTTGTGACACCATAACATACAAGGCATGAGGTAGGCAAAAAACAATATGGAAAGATAACATCAGAGAAACTCTACAATAGCCTGGTCTGTTTACAGTCAAAGTGACCAGAAAGCAAGAAGCAATATCTTATGCACAGGCAAATAAATCAACTACTGTTTATAACCAATATAAGAACAGAAAACCAACCCAAACCCTGTGTAAGTCGTCACATACCCATGGATATAACAAGGAACAGATCTGAGCACTGGTGTAAGTCGTCACATACTGAAGGATATAACAAAGAATAGATCCAAGCACTCTTGTAAGTTGACACATACACAAGGATATAACAAGGAACAGATCCGAGCACTCGTGTAAGTCGTCACATACCGAAGGATATAACAAGGAACAGATCCGAACACTCGTGTAAGTCGTCACATACCGAAGGATATAACAAGGAACAGATCCGAGCACTCATGGACTGAATGGCTGAATGTGCAGTAAAATCAACTAATTAACAGTTGATAATTTTGTTTGATACATGAAACCTTTAGTTTATATGACTAAATTAGAAAGTGACAAATCTAGTATATCAAAATATAAATAATTATTTCTAAGACTAGCAAGCAATAAATCTGGCATAAGAAAATATAAAGGTAGCATCAAAATATAAATAATCATTTCTAAAACTAGCAAACAATAAATCTGGCATATGAAAACATAAAGCTAACCTCAAAATTTAAATATTTATTTCTAAAACTAGCAAGCAATCAATCTGGCATATGAAAACAAAGGTAACATCAAAATCTAAAAAATCATTTCTAAAACTAGCAAACAATAAATCTGGCATATGAAAACATAAAGCTAACCTCAAAATTTAAATATTTATTTCTAAAACTAGCAAGCAATCAATTTGGCATATGAAAACATAAAGGTAACATCAAAATATAAATAATCATTTCTAAAACTAGCAAGCAATAAATCTGGCATATAAAAACATAAAGGTAACACTAATAAAGCTAGCAGCTGATAAATCTGGCATGTCTCAGTGATGCAGTAGTAAAAATCTGACTTCCAACTTAACTACCTATTACTTGATGACAGTAATAAATGTGTTTAGGATACCAAGCAGATACTTCAGGTGTAAACAGCCAAAATGGCGGCACTTTTTTTTCATCCGTTGAGGTGAAGGGTGCAATTCTGCTATTTTCGCTCGCTGGTAGTGTGATATTTTCACTGGGATGGGATCCGAACCCTGCAATCTGTTACATGCACTTGAGTTTAGACTCCACTCAGGATGTATTCAGCATCCAATGGCGATAATATATCCACTATCACTACCGACAGTCAACCTATGGATCAAGCTGATATTATTAAAACCCTCCAGGAAATGGGAAGGGTGGGGGACTTTGGAGGCAGTGAATCCACGTCAACCACCAAAATGACAGACTTGGGAGTTAAGATCGGCATAGAAAAAAACGAGACGCACAACAGGCACATCAGAGGACTTGTTAATCAACACAGAACTGGTAGTATTAGCCACCAGACGCTGGGGTTCATACTGAGGGGAGGATCTGGGCACCAATGGACATGCCTGGAGAGCAATGATGAAAATCCAACTACCTAACAAGCAGACATTTCACAACATACTTGATATCATCACTGGTGAACTTGTACGTGTGCCAACAGCTGCCCTCATCTGTGGAGAATTTGACCACTTTAGGGTAATCTGTGTCCATCGGCACAGCCACCAGAAGGCCCCCGCTGTCTGCAATCTCATAGGCATGGGGGCCACGTAATACCTGCAAACATATATGTTCACAGAATTTTAAACGTGAGCCTATTTTGCATACAATAAGGACACACTTGAAAAATTGCGAGGAGTAACTAGAGGATCTGGCCAATGCTCAACACTCTAGGGAAGGGTCAGGTGTTTTTACAATCAAACTGGTATTTATGCTATCTGAACTGGAACTCTGCCCTTGCAACTGAGACTAGGGATGGAGCCCTTATGGGAACATCCTGGGTGCTGTGATTTTGATTATTAATTTAACAAAATTAAACAGATTTGGAAAACTATCTTGAAACTTGCCTATCAACTCCAAATGGAGCATAGGTCCTCAATCATATCTCACCATTTGCTTTGAAAACTTGTTCACAAGCGACTGGATTCTGAAGACAGTTTTTCACCAGGAAGAGGTCTCACGTCAAGCCAACTTATGTTTTTTCTTCTTCTTCTTCTTCTCTACCCCTGTTTTGCCTTTCAGTATGCATTTGAAGACGCATCAGGTGAAAGCCTTGGTATGTGCTACGTTTATGTTGATATTCACAGCTTTGGATATTCCCTCTATCCATCACTTACGTAGTCAACCTCTGGATCTGCTTCATCAGTCTGACAAAGCTCCCTGAGGTGCACTATTTGGTGATACTTGACAAATGACCAAACCATTTAATATGCTGTCTCTTGATGTAGTTTAATACTGGTTTCCTTCCAACTTCCTGATATCTCATTTCTGATCCTTATCTTCTAGTGACATTTAGGTTTCATCACAGACATTTCATTTATGCTGTTTTAATTTTTCTTTTGTATTTTGTTGTTAGTGTCTACGTTTGGCACTAGTAACACAATGCTGGTAAAAAAAATACTGTATTAAATAGTGCTATTTTAGCGTCAATTGTTAGAGTGTCATTACAACATGATGACAGGTTACATTGTGTCATTACAACACGATAATAGGTTACATTGTGTCATTACAACATGATGACAGGTTACATTGTGTCATTACAACACGATAACAGGTTACATTGTGTCATTACAACACGATAACAGGTTACATTGTGTCATTACAACATGATGACAGGTTACATTGTGTCATTACAACACGATGACAGGTTACATTGTGTCATTACAACACGATGACAGGTTACATTGTGTCATTACAACATGATGACAGGTTACATTGTGTCATTACAACACGATGACAGGTTACATTGTGTCATTACAACATGATGACAGGTTACATTGTGTCATTACAACACGATAACAGGTTACATTGTGTCATTACAACACGATGACAGGTTACATTGTGTCATTACAACATGATGACAGGTTACATTGTGTCATTACAACACGATGACAGGTTACATTGTGTCATTACAACACGATGACAGGTTACATTGTGTCATTACAACACGATGACAGGTTACATTGTGTCATTACAACACGATGACAGGTTACATTGTGTCATTACAACACGATGACAGGTTACATTGTGTCATTACAACACGATGACAGGTTACATTGTGTCATTACAACATGATGACAGGTTACATTGTGTCATTACAACATGATGACAGATTACACTGTGTCATTACAACACGATGACAGGTTACATTGTGTCATTACAACATGATGACAGGTTACATTGTGTCATTACAACATGATGACAGGTTACATTGTGTCATTACAACATGATGACAGGTAGGTTACATTGTGTCATTACAACACGATGACAGGTTACATTGTGTCATTACAACATGATGACAGGTTACATTGTGTCATTACAACATGATGATAGGTTACATTGTGTCATTACAACATGATGACAGGTTACATTGTGTCATTACAACACGATGACAGGTTACATTGTGTCATTACAACACGATGACAGGTTACATTGTGTCATTACAACACGATGACAGGTTACATTGTGTCATTACAACATGATGACAGGTTACATTTGTATTATTCTTTGTGCTTTCTCTGAACCAAGGATCCGGCAAAAATTTGTTTTTCATCACATATTTATGAAACAGTGTGTGCCATAGTCACTGTTGTCTCATTTAAGTCATAACAACAAAGCTTGACCAGTAGTGAGTGTGTAAACAAGCCTGGCATGTGATATGACATCTAGTTTAAGAATGGAGGTGGAGGCATTGCAGCCTTCTGCTAGCTTTAGAACCAGCTGCATACATATGTTATGATTGCAACTGAGTAACAAAGCATGCTGAAAAAGGTGGAGACCTGTATGATCTGTGCAGAGTGGCAAGCATTGCTTCAGATGTCCTGGGTAGTAAACTTGTGAATCTTTATACCAGGGTGATGCTAGTGTGTTGGGAAAAGAACAGGCTGATAGACTGACTAGTTCTGCACCACACTGTGATGAACTGATGCAAGATGGTGTAAGAATCCTTTGGGAGTGAATCAACAGTGTGAAAGCACATTCACCATGATGAAACAGTTTGTGAATGTATTTGATTTTGTATTTCAGTTGGAAGGATTCATTATTTGCTTCATTTTAATCAACTGTTAATGTAGTAGGCACCTGACAAGATAGATTTGTTTTTATTTTTTAAAGTTCTGTTGTCTTGTCTATTGAGTTTATCAATCAAAGTTTGTGCTGTATTTAGTACTTCATTGATAAAGACTTAAGTCAAAACGTTTGACTATGTTTGTGTGTGTTTTTCCATCCTTCTGTTGAGCTTTTTAGTCACAGTTTGTATTTTATATCTAGCAGTTCCTACAGTGAAATATGCCAGGCAATAAATGGTGCAGTCTATTTTTGTCTTCTTTATTCAAATGTCATGCATTATTCAACTGCCTTGATAATCTGCGGGTGACGGAGTCTAGATGACAAAGGCAAAGAAAGCAAGAGCAAAACAATGTGTGTTTCTTAGATATTAAAAACAAATTCCTGCCATCACACCCATCAATGTCTATCAGTGTATTCACACCCATCAATGTCTGTCCGTGTATTCACACCCATCAATGTTTGCCAGTGTATTCACACACATCAATGTCTGTCCGTGTATTCACATCCATCAATGTCTGTCCATATATTCACACCCATCAATGTCTGTCCGTGTATTCACACCCATCAATGTCTGTCCATGTATTCACACCCATCAATGTCTGCCCGTGTATTCACACCTATCAATGTCTGTCCAAGTATTCACACCCATCAATGTCTATCAGTGTATTCACACCCATCAATGTCTGTCTGTGTATTCACACCCATCAATGTCTGCCCGTGTATTCACACCCATCAATGTCTGCCCGTGTATTCACACACATCAATGGCTGTCCGTGTATTCACACCCATCAATGGCTGTCCGTGTATTCACACCCACCAATGTCTGTCCGTGTATTCACACCCACCAATGTCTGTCCGTGTATTCACACCTATCAATGTCTGTCCGTGTATTCACACCTATCAATATCTGTACGTGCATTCACACTCATCAATATCTGTACGTGCATTCACACTCATCAATGTCTGTCCATGTATTCACACCTATCAATATCTGTACGTGCATTCACACTCATCAATATCTGTACGTGCATTCACACTCATCAATGTCTGTCCGTGTATTCATACCTATCAATATCTGTACGTGCATTCACACTCATCAATATCTGTACGTGCATTCACACTCATCAATATCTTAAGTGCATTCACACTCATCAATGTCTGTCCATGTATTCACACCCATCAATGTCTGTACGTGTATTCACACTCATCAATGTCTGTCAGTGTATTCACACCCATCAATGTCTGTCCGTGTATTCACACCCATCAATGTCTGTCCATGTATTCACACCCATCAATATCTGTCCATGTATTCACACCCATCAATGTCTGTCAGTGTATTCACACCCATCAATGTCTGTCCATGTATTCACACCCATCAATGTCTGTCCCTGTATTCACACCCATCAATGTCTGTCCGTGTATTCACACCCATCAATGGCTGTCCGTGTATTCACACACATATTTGTCTGTTTGTGCACATACATTCACAGACAATAAATTCTCAGACATACATTACTTTCTCAATACTATGTACTGAAAATACAAACAAAAAAAGTTCTTCAAAGGGTTCACCAGTAACTTGTTAGTAAACATCCAACTCCCAGGTTTGTGCACCAACTAATGAGAAACTAAGTAGCTGGTAAACATCCAACACAAGAGTTCCCAAGTCTGTGCACCAACTAATGAGAAACTATCTAATGAACATCCAACTCAAGAGTTCCCAAGTTTGTGCACCAACTTATGAGAAACTCACTTGCTAGTGAACATCCAACTCAAGAGTTCCCTGGTTTGTGCACCAACTAATGAGAAACTCACTTGCTAGTGAACATCCAACTCAAGAGTTCCCTGGTTTGTGCACCAACTAATGAGAAACTCACTAGCTGGAGAAAATCCAACTCAAGAGTTCCCAAGTCTGTGCATGAACTAATGAGAAACTCACTTACCATGAACCAGTACCAGCCCATAAGCCCCTTTCTGACTAAGTGGAGGCCGTGCATTAATCCCTCGATGGATGCTGTATGCATTATGGATCTGCAGATAGCAGCCATCCTGTAATAAAGAAAAACACACACAAATTACAACCTTAAGTAATCTGTACACACAGCAACAACTTTCATAGAACATGTGTCATGAAGTGCAAGTTTATTTCCTTTTATAGCAGATTCAAACTAGCTTGGATCACTGATATTCAAACCATAAAAGAATTATAATTCTATACTCTAAATGAATCTAACAAAACATCACTGACTGTGGTAAAACAACCAATATAAACCAGTGGCTTATGATTTCTATGAGTTAAGAACAGTAAATTAGAATCACTCTAAAAGTGACAGTGTAGTGACAAGAGCAGACAACTTTGATTAGGACAAACAAGAACAATCACTCTAATGCAGTGGTTCCAAAACATCTTTGGGACACAAACCTTTTTATATGTGCAAACTAACCTGTGCCACATTTTCAAAGTAGGTACTTTCTTAACCCACTGACTACCACGATCACATGATATGTGATCCGCCAACGTTACCATGCTCCTAACTTTGGACACTCTCCACCATGTTCAAATTGTGACTTTTGCAATAAATGAATTTAAAGCTGCTAGTCCATAGGCTTCTTTATGTTTATTTAAGGGACACAATTTGGTAGCGCTCAAAGTAAGTTTTCCAAGAAATTCTTTCTTTTAGGGGGTGAGCTCCCTTGTCGATTACGCATTAGGTGCATGTTTTGCTAATGGGTCTGATCGTTAGAGCCGGTGTGGAGGAACAGTTTGGAGAATATTTATGATGCACTGGGATAATGTCTTTGATTGTTTTACATCAGAAAGTTAAGGGGAAGATATTTCTGACACAGTTTGCTGACTTATCATTCTTATGTACGGCCATCAAAAACATAGTTGAAACTGTAAGACGATGTTCAGCTTACACCGGTGGCGTGACAGCCAAATGTAGGTCTGTTATGTTTCATTAGTTTGTGTGAACTGTTTCATAGATGTGCTTCAGATGTGTATTGTTAAATGCCTCTGTTAGTATAGACTGCGTATATTACGGTGCTGTGGCTTAGAGTTTATTGAAAAACGTTTAACAATGTCATCTTCGACGTTTACCAGACTGCCGCTTCCATTTTGGAAAAAGATTGTTTTTATGGCTTTTTGAATTTTACACTTCAGTTATACTGTAACAGAAGTTCTTGGTGCAAAATGGCAAACAGCCACTGAATTTGCAGAATTTTATTTCACAGTTAGTCAGAGCTCTCATCCAGGATTATTTCAACAACAACAAACATATTGATTGGTGTCAGAAGATTTTTCTGTTGCCTTTTCTGCACCAACTTACATTCACATGATGATGTCATATTAGATTATTCAGTTCTTGAAATTTGTTCACCACTCAATTTGGTGAAAACATGCAAAATAATATGGGTTTAGGTCAAATAGTTGTGAAGGTATGACATTTTTTAGTGGACACAAAAATATGTAGTATCTGGGAAAGTGCAAGGGTTAGACTTGTTAGTCAGTTGGTTAAAATCGACATAAAACAGTTAAAATTATGTTTTCAGAATACAAATGTAACAAATATATTTAAAAAAAAACAAGAATTTTCTGATATTACGCTCGTAACTAGGTTTCAAGCTCCATGGCTAAATTTTCAAAGTTAGTTTTACGTTTTCTCAACATTTAGTCTGTTTCTTGCTATGGTTTCCAGTAAAAATAATTGTAGAACATCTATTATCGCAGAAACAGGGCCAAACAGAAGTAAAACTAATCATCTATTAAAAAAAAAAAAAAAAATACAACTAGAAAATAAATGCAGCAACCATCTTACCCTGTTGCAATGTCTATAAAAATTATTGCAACTAGTAACAAGTGAAGAAACCACTTAGAAAACATTCTGCAATGTTTATGAAAATTATTTTAACTAAAAATAATGGAACAAACCACTCAGAAAACTTCTTCAGATGTTTAACAAAGTTATTAGGAATAAAAATAACTGAAGAAACTACACACAAAACACCCTCTTGCAGTACCTGTCGTTGTGTACTTGATCAATTAGGAAACAGTCTCTGTGACCAACTAGCATTCATATACCAATAAGGATTTGTACCTTTTCATTATTTGAGCACTCCACATTATCTGGCCGCTGTACTTGCTTCCATTCAGCCCCTCTGTTGTAAGTAATCACCGTGTGAATGGACTTGTCGTCAGCCATCTGGCTTGCAAGGTACACCCCTTTCATGGATTCCACCTGTTAAAAAAACAATCAAGACTAAATTATGTGTGCTATTTCCTTTCTGCTTACCGGTCTCTTAAATTGAATGGCAACAAATTCTCTGAAAAGTATATGTGGACAGAAAGGTTGCTGAGCATGAATGTACCAGGTTAAATATTCATCAGATTCAATGTCATATCTGACTGTTATCATTCTCACAGTCAGGCATCGGTCTTCCTGTATCCCTTCTCTGATTCTGGCAAATATTCTTCTTCACAATCACGGGATGTAAACTCCAGCAGAAGGTTCTGGTTGTTTATCCACTGCTGGACTGTAGTCTGGTTTCAGAACCTGAGTATTGGCGTGCAGATCCATTTTACAGATCTGACTTATTTGTAAGCAGACTGCTGATTCCCCGCCTCTCAGGCAGATGCATTCTGACTGCAAAAGAAACTTCCAATTAGTTGAATTTTACCACATGCTTGTTGGGAAGGCAGTGGGGTCTGTTCTTGTTTCTGGGGCCCCAGAAACCATAAGGGGAATTCTGGGAATCATGTTATCATTACAACAGAAACTGGAGGTTCCGGCCCATCTTCATCTTTAATCTTTTCTACCGCAGTGTTGAATCATGAATGCCATCTTAATATCTGTGCAACTGATAAAGACTGAGCCCCATAACTTTGTCTCATCCTTTTAACTGACTCAAACACATTTTTTTCACTGCTTGAGGCAGAAGTAAATGCCTCCGTTTTCTCTATATGGAACAAAGCAACTCTAACTAGCTGAACAAAACTGCAGGTTATTTTTCATTTGCTGAAATGGCTGAACAAAATGGTCAACTGCTGGCAAGGTGGTTTTGCAATTAGGCCAAATCATAGATGAATAATGCTTGTTTGGATAACTTCTTTTTCTTCACGGATAGCATTATGGCATTATAATAAAATCAGTTTCCTTAGTCAACGGGCCGACTGTGTATGCAAACAATCCAACACATCTATTTATACACACACACATGATAGCTGAAAACATTACAGGCCACATACCTTGTAGAAGTCATGGACGGTGTTGTAGTTGGGAAAGAGGTGGTTACGAAGTGACTCTGAGTACACGATCCCATCGGATGAGGAAGTGTACAATGTCCCATGTCCAGTGTCTAAGGAATGGTCATGGAGAAAACAAACCAGAACATCTCAGAGATTACAGCCACAACAATGTCAGAAAAGAAACTACAGCATCACAACTTTCTTCAGCTAACAAAAAAAAAAACACTTCTTTTTATTTTTTGCCACTTTTTCTTTTTCTTCTTCTCATTCACCATCCGGTGGAAAGTTCTGGTTGTCTTGTTCCAGAATTTGAGTTTTGCATACACAGACTTGTTACATTTTTGGCTTGTCTGTAAGCAGACTGTTGGTTCCTCCCCTCTTAAGCTGATGTGCTCTGACTCTGAAGGAAAACCCCTAATTAGTCAACTTTTACAAGACACTTCTTTGGGGCAGTGGGTATATTCTTGTTTTTTTTTCTTTCCCAAAATGGGACCTTGGAACCCACACGGAGAAACTTTGACACTAAAATGCCAGTGGTTGTGGTTTGTCTTGATTTTGACAATGGTATGTAGAGCTAACTGTTGAGAAAGTGTTGGCAAATGTAAACTTGTCTAGTAAAATGACAAGCAGCCAATAAGTGCTGTAGTTGGTTCTGAAATGCCCTGTCAAGTATACACAGCTAACAGTGTGCGTCTGATCCACGTAACTTATGTTATCTTACACCTATCCTTTACAATATTGTAACAATATCATCATATAACATTTCCTCGACTTCTCCTCTTCACACTCTCTCCACTGCCAGCTGAAGATGGCATCAAGCACAGAGCACACACGTCACAGCTCTATGTAGAGTGGCAAGCACTGCTTCCCGGGGACTTAGCAAGCATGTCAGGTAGCTAGTGTCTGTTAGATATTTTCTACATGAAATGTTGGTGTTGGGAAACGGACAGGCTGATTCTGCACCACTTGGCTGTAAACTGGCGACGGCAAGCTAGATGTTGTAAGGGCCCTTTGTAAGTGAGTAACAATGTGGAGGCACAAACAGATCAAAAGTCTGAAGAGAATGATGCAGTGAAGCGCAACCAGCAGATTTGGTTGATGACCAACACACAGGGGAAGGGCCTGACGGACATACAATCAGACTACTACTAGTACCATCGGAAATTCTGTGCTTGCTGCTGAAGATGGGGGACGTTGCACTTATGGGAATGCTCTGAGTGCTATGATATTAGTTCCTAACTCATAAAATATAACAAATTAAAAAAATTAACATTAATAATAATAATATTCTTAGGCAACCAGTATATTCCTTCCCTCAGCAGGTGCACTGAAGAATGTTGCTCAAATCACACCCTGGCTGAAAGACAGTCTTCTTCCTGTCCTTTCATCTCATGCCCTTGACCGACTGAGATGTCTCTTATCTCCTCCGCCCTCTTTTGGGCTAGTCAGCCATTGCTTCTCTTATCCAGAACCATGCTCTCCATTAAACCTTTGATATGGCCAAAGTACTTCAGTTTCCAAGACAAACAAATATGCTGTTGATGAGCCAATTCTCCTCGATGTTCAGTCTTACAGAATGACAAGATTTCTTTTCTTCCTGGTCCATGTATTGTAAAAGTCTTTCTGTAGCATTTCAGCTTAAAAGCCCAGATTTGTCCATACAGTTTTTAAGATAGTTCGTGATTCTCATCTGAATGATTATGCTCTAAAAATGTGTGACTTGCAAGTGTTTAAGAGATGACCAGTCTTCGGTAAACAGGTATACTAATCTATTTCCCATACATACATGACATTTAGTTACGTATCCTTTACAGGACGTTGCAGAACCAGCCCCGGCATTTTGACTTTTGTGGTTTTGCTAGGCAAATCTATGTTTGGCAGTTTGCCATTGCTTTCTAAACTGTTGACGTTTGGTACCATTGTCGTAACCAACACAAGACAATCCACTGGCAAATGACTGCAGCTAGGATCAAACCTAGCACCCTAAGATTATCAATCGCATTTGCAACATTTAAGCTAGAGACTCGTGTTCAGACACTTAAAGACATGTTTTTGCCAAATATTTACTCAAGATGAAATATGGTGGTTGCTGTTAAACAGAGTAAATATTTGATTCCAATATTTTTCTTCTCTCTTTCACATGCAAGTGTTTTGTAGGATCAGAAGTGACACTGGGCAGTTCTGACACAGTTCCAAAACGTGACACTTTGGTGTACAGAAATTGGTTTAAAATATCCAGAAGCAACCAATTATCTCAATGGTGACCCCTTACCTCCAGGGTTGTCCACATGCATGAAGATCAGCCCCTCGGACATGTCAAGGACGGAGAAAAACTGAAGCAGAAAGGAAAAAACTTATCATATAACCAGTGACATGACTGTCTCAACACTAAATGCATAATCAATATTTAAAACACAATGATATCTTGCTACAAGTTACAGGCAATAAACAGACAGTCGACATTTTGAGAAAAGAAAAACCCGAACATGTGACAACTGGAAATGTTTGTGAAAGAGTCTTAGAAAGACAATAAGAGAAGATTCTTGTGGGTCATTCATCAAGGTACAGAAAGTAACAGCCAAAAACTCACATTTACCACTTTAGAGACTTGGAAAGACAATAAGAGAAGATTCTTGTGGGTCGATCATCAAGGTACAGAAGAGTAACAGCCAAAAACTCACATTTACCACTTTTGAGACTTGGAAAGACAATAAGAGAAGATTCTTGTGGGTCGATCATCAAGGTACAGAAGAGTAACAGCCAAAAACTCACATTTACCACTTTTGAGACTTGGAAAGACAATAAGAGAAGATTCTTGTGGGTCGATCATCAAGGTACAGAAGAGTAACAGCCAAAAACTCACATTGTATTTAGCACTTTTGCTCTGTAGGCATAGGGGTGGGATATGTTTGAGCTGGGGGATTTAGGACTGCATGGCTAGAGCTGTCACCCTCAACTGAGCAGGTTAGGATTCTATTTTTTCCGAAACCGAAAAATAGTCCCAAACTTACTGAGGATTTGAACCTAGGTCTCCAGGATGAGAACCTAGCGTTCTTATTAATATTACATATCATATATACACATAAGATGAATACAATAAAGAATATGAACCTACCCTGTCCCCAGTCAATGTCGGAAGCTGGGCCTCATTCCAAGTGTCTCCGCCATCAGTCGAGATCATCATCAGTCTCTCATCAATCTACAGTGGAAGATAAAACATTTTTAAAAAAAACTGTTCTCACTGGCTAAATAACAGTAATGATACGTTGTTATTTTAAGATAATCATTTGTGTTGTTATTTAACATAACTGACATAATACAACCTGGATAATCCTACAGGTGATTAGTCTCCACAAACAGGCACAAACAATTTCACCTCACCTTCAACCTTGCTCTCTAACATTTGTACAGAATTCCTCTTCTTCTGTTTCAATGGTGCTGTTCTGTCTTTCAGTGTTCGGTTTTAAAGAGGAACCAGCTGTGAGCCTTGGTATATACTACATTGATGCTGATATTTACGGCCTTGAATATTCCATCTGTCCATCATTTTGTACAGTAACCATAGAACTTGAGTAATATTTAATAATCACATGGTCGCTACAATTTTGCCCAAGCTTTGTGTTACACAGAAACATGCAGGCGGGCTTTTACTAGTCACCATCAACAAGGACTACGTTGCCCACCCTCCTAAAGCACACTATAACACTATCATATTAACTCTTTGAGTCCCAGTGGCTTTAGCATCAGAGGCCCAAGGGCTAGTCAAAAGAGAAGTAAAATCTGTGCATCTTGCGTTCATTTGGCCTCTAGGCGGGAACCTATGAACGTATGATGCGTTCCTTGGGACTCAAAGAGTTAAAAGATGCAAGGGTGCCAATCAATAATTTTCTTATCACAGAAAGACAAAACAACACAGGAAATTATTTGTAAACTTGGATTTATTCAAATATTTAGGCGGGAACGAAGCAGATAAAGTAGAAGGGCAGAGACAGAGGTTGGAGAGGAGAGCAGACATGAAATGAAAGTGAAGGGAAAAGAGACTGACCTGCAGCACATTAATTAACTCAGCTCCCACCTTTAGTAACAACAATGTATAGCCATTCTTCTTCTTCTTTTTTTGTGTTCACTGGCTGTAAAAATCCAGTGGAAAATTCTGGTTATTTATTAACTTAAGCCTTGTTCCAGAGCCTGAGTTTTGCATGCACATCTGTTTTACAGATCTGACTTATTTTTAGGCAGACTTCTGGTTCCTCACACTCCAACTTCAAAGAAAACATCCTTCATTAGTTGACTTCTGTGACATGCTTGTTACAGAGGGAGTATAGCATTTCAGCAATGAAAGAAAACCAAATGGTCAGTGACATAAAATCACGTACTACTTGACCGGGACAAGTCTCTTACTTGGGACCAAACTCCAGCCTATCATAACATAACAGTACTGTGTCCTGTCCTTAAACCTAGAACATGCACAGGAAGCACTCACTAACCTGAGTTTTTGGGTTTTCAGACTTGAAAAGTGATGCATAGATGAATTTATCCTCCACATTGAATAAAACAACTCTCTTGAGAAGAGTCTTCCAGGAACTGGTCTCACTATCGTACCGCTCCAGGGTCATCATCTCCGGTTCATTTTCTATACACATTCACAGAAATAAGATCAGGTTACAATTTATAGTTTACACATTCCAAGAAATAAGATCAAGTAACAATTTATAGTTTACACAATCACAGAAATAAGATCAAGTTACAATTTATAGATTACACAATCACAGAAATTAAATAAAATTACAATTTTTAATTAGACATTCAGAGAAATAAGATCATTACATTTTATAGTTTACACAATCACAGAAACAAGATCAAGTTACAATTTATAGTTTACATAATCACAGAAACAAGATCAAGTTACAATGTATAGTTTACAAAATCACAGAAACAAGATCAAGTTATAATTTATAGTTTACACAACCACAGAAATAAGATCAAGTTACAATTTATAGTTTACACAATCACAGAAATTAAATAAAGTTACAATTTATAATTAGACATTCAGAGAAATAAGATCGTTACATTTTATAGTTTACACAATCACAGAAACAAGATCAAGTTACAATTTATAGTTTACACAATCACAGAAACAAGATCAAGTTACAATGTATAGTTTACAAAATCACAGAAACAAGATCAAGTTATAATTTATTGTTTACACAACCACAGAAATAAGATCAAGTTACAATTTATAGTTTACACAACCACAGAAACAAGATCAAGTTACAATTTATAGTTTACACAACCACAGAAACAAGATCAAGTTACAATTTATAGTTTACACAATCACAGAAACAAGATTAAGTTACAATTTATAGTTTTCACTCCTAATCAGTCGTCTCTTACGACACATGTTTCAAGACAGTGGACCTATATTGTTTTCAAATATTGCGGACACAAACGTTAGATTGCACAATTTAATACCAGACCTATTTCCCTATCTTGTCAGGGGTGTTATTACACATAATAAAGCAAAACACTGAATTAATTCCACTGAAATACAAATGTTCCCCTGCAATCCATTCGTCATTTAATCATCTGAAGTTCACGACAGTCACGTGATTGACCACGGTAACTTAAAGTTTATAATTAATTCCTTCTGTGTACATAAAGGAGGACTGTACATTTTTTATTTTTAAAGCTTTGGCTAGTCATAGCATTCGTCTGTTCGGTGTGTGGTAAATAACAAGAAAAATCACTCTCCTCATCAATTCTATTTCCAGACTGACCAGGTCATGACCAAGTGGGTGACCATTGTGTCCCGTTTTTACTGGGACATTCCTGTTTATTTAGGTTTGCCCTGGCCATCCATTCAGTACTCCCCTCCCCCCACCCCAACCATGCCAGATGTACCATTTTAACAAAGTTTAGTCAACATTACACACATGTAAAATTAGTTGTATCAGTAGACCTTATATGATTTCATAGTTTTAAGTCCTCTTTATGCCCGAAATGTGTTGTGGGAACTGTCTTTGTAGCATGTTTTTAGTGCAGGTTAAGAACATTTTGTTTCTTTTATTTCTTGGTGACAATGAATTAAGTTGTAATACCATTATCGAGCGCGCAATTAACCCTTTCACTCTGATGATTGGGGGAAGGGGGGGGGTTAAAACTAACTAGATTGAGACGTCCCATTTTTAGCTTAAAACATTAGTCAGATGTCCCAAATTCAGCTTAATATATTATGGTCACCCTATGAGCAAGTCATGACAGTGTGTGCTGTCTCAGTGGTGTGCACGTGGTTGTGTACATGATAATATGACCAGCATGTGAGAGGTCTTCATCACAATAACAACAACAATTACTGACAGACACCAATATCAAATTGGTGGAACAAAACTTACTGTTTGTGGCCTCCTTTGTCGTGACGTACAAACACTTTTCTCTGTGTGCTTCAGCTGTCCCCCTGTAAATATATTTTCCAGGGCTGATCAAAATGTGTAGATCATCTGCTAAAGGGACATCTGCTAAAGGGATTCACATCTCACCCTCAACAAAGTCACTTTCACATACTGAGCATATTTATGTCTCAGGGAGAAGAGTGGCTTTGATGTTACAGCATCCACCTCTGACTCATGACATATTCATGGCATTGTGGTGCTGGGGTGTCTGTTGATTCTTACCCCCAAGAATGGATACATGTCTATACTGATGGATCAGCATTTAAAGCTACCATTAAAGCAGGTTACGGAATCTACATAGGTTATCCCGATGGATCTGTTGAAGAGATTTTTGATGCATGCGGGGAATTCTGTTCAAACTATGAAGCTGAAATAATTGCACTGGAAACAGCAGTATACCACCTAAAGACTGTAATGGATGTTTACCCCTCAAAGGTCCAAAATATTGTCATCTTCACAGATTCAATGTCTGCCCTTCAAGCTCTGGAGGGCAATGAACGCTGCAGAACTGACATAGCCAAGATAATCCTGGATGCCGATCATCTTATTACCTCATACAACATCAGAATAGTGATGCAGTGGATTCCAGGTCACTCCGGCACACCAGGTAATGACAGAGCTGACAGATTGGCAAAGAAAGGAGCAACACAAGAACAACCACCTACAGCGACAACCCTCCAGACAGCAAAAACACTGATAAGAGCTATAAACAAAGAGACTTGGTTGAACAGATGGGCCATGGGAGACACTGGAAGAGAGGTTTATAGACATATGTCTGGCCCTGATCCTAATGACAGCATTAACCATCTAACAAGAAGGGACCAGGCCACCATCTTCAGACTTTGAACGCAACATACTCCACTCAATGGACACCTAAACAGAATACAGCCACAACACTCCCCAGAGTGCCAGCTATGTAACTACCCCTACGAAACTGTTGAACACCATCTCTTTGAGTGCCCAAAACTCAGTGAGACAAGAAGAACGCTACTCCCTCCGAGACCAGACAAGTGGAACACCTTGTACGGAGGAAAAGAACAGCTTGTGAAAACATGCAAATTCCACTACATGGCATTGGACCAAAGGGCGAAAGCTCATGCGCCGCTGGATCGATAACAACAACAACAACAACCTCTGACTCATGCAGGTATTAGTTCCCTGGTGCGGACAGTGTTAATGTTTACTCCCAAAAATAAAAAAGATGGTAGACTTTCTCCGTGAACCTGGGGTAACTGACCAAACACCAGGCCTTCACCGGAAAGGGAGGAAACCTGGACAAACTTCTTCTTCTAAGTGTTCACCGGCTGTAAATTTTAATTGTTTGTTCACTTTAGTTTTGCTCCTGACTTTTGCACTCTGACTTTAAAGGAAACATCTCTAATAACACAACCCGCTTGTTAAGAGACAGTGGATCTATTGTTTACTGCCAAACAATCAACCCCTCGTCCCCCCATAGTACGGCCCTGGAATCCACACAGGGTGCTGGAGAAACCAGGTGAAAGTTAACAATTCTTGCCAAGAAGACAGCTTTCTAGGCTGCCTTTTTTATTATTATTCTGAGCATGAGCTGCAGAACTGTCCTAACTACTGGCAGAGGTTGGGGATCTGGCCCAAGGAAGCTACTTAAGACAATCTGTGCAAGACTGTCCTAACTACTGGCAGAGGTTGGGGATCTGGCCCAAGGAAGCTACTTAAGACAATCTGTGCAAGACTGTCCCAACTACTGGCAGAGGTTGAGGATCTGGCCCAAGGAAGCTACTTAAGACAATCTGTGCAAGACTGTCCCAACTACTGGCAGAGGTTGGGGATCTGGCCCAAGGAAGCTACTTAAGACAATCTGTGCAAGACTGTCCCAACTACTGGCAGAGGTTGAGGATCTGGCCCAAGGAAGCTACTTAAGACAATCTGTGCAAGACTGTCCCAACTACTGGCAGAGGTTGGGGATCTGGCCCAAGGAAGCTACTTAAGACAATCTGTGCAAGACTGTCCTAACTACTGGCAGAGGTTGGGGATCTGGCCCAAGGAAGCTACTTAAGACAATCTGTGCAAGACTGTCCTAACTACTGGCAGAGGTTGGGGATCTGGCCCAAGGAAGCTACTTAAGACAATCTGTGCAAGACTGTCCTAACTACTGGCAGAGGTTGGGGATCTGGCCCAAGGAAGCTACTTAAGGCAATCTGTGCAAGACTGTCCTAACTACTGGCAGAGGTTGGGGATCTGGCCCAAGGAAGCTACTTAAGACAATTTGTGCTAGACTGTCCTAACTACTGGCAGAGGTTGGGGATCTGGCCCAAGGAAGCTACTTAAGACAATTTGTGCTAGACTGTCCCAACTACTGGCAGAGGTTGGGGATCTGGCCCAAGGAAGCTACTTAAGACAATTTGTGCTAGACTGTCCCAACTACTGGCAGAGGTTGAGGATCTGGCCCAAGGAAGCTACTTAAGACAATCTGTGCAAGACTGTCCCAACTACTGGCAGAGGTTGAGGATCTGGCCCAAGGAAGCTACTTAAGACAATCTGTGCAAGACTGTCCCAACTACTGGCAGAGGTTGAGGATCTGGCCCAAGGAAGCTACTTAAGACAATCTGTGCAAGACTGTCCCAACTACTGGCAGAGGTTGGGGATCTGGCCCAAGGAAGCTACTTAAGACAATCTGTGCAAGACTGTCCCAACTACTGGCAGAGGTTGGGGATCTGGCCCAAGGAAGCTACTTAAGACAATCTGTGCAAGACTGTCCCAACTACTGGCAGAGGTTGGGGATCTGGCCCAAGGAAGCTACTTAAGACAATCTGTGCAAGACTGTCCCAACTACTGACAGAGGTTGGGGATCTGGCCCAAGGAAGCTACTTAAGACAATCTGTGCAAGACTGTCCTAACTACTGGCAGAGGTTGAGGATCTGGCCCAAGGGAGCTACATTACAAGACAATCTGTTAGCGATCTTAGACCCACAGTTCTGTTTGTGACCCAGATGAGAATAAAGTCAAAAAGTTTTTTTAAAAATAAGACGTTAGAAAATCGACTTCAGAAAAAAAAATATTTAGCGCACACATAAATCTGGTATGCACACATCTGGATATTCACCATTACTACAAAATATGTTTTATTCTTATTCTGCATGTGCCCTTAAAAGGGTAGTTAGCACACAATGTTGTGGTTTAAAGCAAAAGTGTGATATCACTCCTTTTAGTGCAACACATCCGATTTAAGAAAATCATTAATTAGGCGTCTTTTATCGCTTATCAAAGACCCCCCACCCCCCAACAAAAATTGGATCCAAAAACCCACATGGAAAAATATAATTTGCGAACAATGCTAAAACTATTTGTTTGTGTCAGTATAGTCATGAATAAAAATAAACTTTGAATAAAGTATGAGCTGAAATTATCTCTGACACATTCAAACATACAGAGGGCTGCGTGGTCTCGAGGTATGGTGTCCGCCTCGAGTGCTGGGGGTCCCGGGTTCAAGCCCGGTGAGGGCTAGGATTTTTTCATGTAGACTTCTAGTAATTTCCCCTAGTCTCTGGGTAGTAAGATCGGACGCCCGCGTGTATTGTTGCGCACATTAAAAAAATCACTAACAGTTAGAAACCTATAAAGGTAGTCTAACGGCACTGCCAGGGCAAATGATTTTTGATCTGATTTGATTCAAGAACTGACATCATAGCACTCAGGGCATTCCCATAGCGCTCCGTCTCCATCTTCAGCAACCAGCAAAGAGTTCTGATACTAATAGTGCCAGTAGCCTTCTGATTAAACGTCCCTCTTGCCTATCCTCTAAGCTTCGAGCCTCTGCCAGAACCTCTCGTCACTCCCTGCTGCATCAATCTCACCAGACTGTGGTGATCCATCTGCCCTCCGAACTGTACACGCTCTTCCACAAGGCACTAACCACGCCTGCCTTATCATGTATCAGTATTCCACCAAGTTGTGCAGAGCCAGCCAGTCTGTCCACGTGTTCATTTTCCAACACACCGGCGTAACCCGGTGAAAAAAATCCAGACAATACTCCTCACCTGTATCCTCCGCAGCGAAGCATGCCACTCTGCACGAAGCATACCTGTTCTGATCTTCCTCAGCATGCTTTCTGAGTCAGTTACAATCACGATGTGTGTGTGTGTGTGTGTCATGTCCTCTAGCCAGCAAAAAGCTGCAGTGACTGCCTCCACCTCCATTCTTAAGCTGGATGTTGTGGTATCATTTGCTAGGCTCTCCTGCACCAAACATCGACCATTAACTTTTGCTAAGCAGCCCCAAGCACTTCTTTTGCCTCTTGACACTGAACCGTCTGTGCAAATGATAAAATCCTCTGAGCGAGCATTATCTTGAAATAACTACTGAATTTCCACCTCTGTGGCACCTGCTGGCCAGTCTCTGCATTCCCGGCTCAGCAAAGATTATGACTCTACACAAGTCTGACTGCTTAGGTGGCACTTTGACCCACTCCTCTCCTCGCCTTATGTTCTCAAGGATGCAAACCAGTCTGATTGTGTCTTCTGCCTGAGCCATCCATAACCTTCCTCTTGACAGCCGCTGACCCTTAACTGCACCCACAGCTTCATGCAGAGGGTGGTCTGTGTCTGCAGCCACCCTGAGATATTACTTCGCCTGCAGCACCTTGTGCCTACCTGCAACCGTCGGCAAACCAAGGATGTATCACATACACACCACTGGGGTGTCTCTGGTGCAACTCAGAATGACCCGCATAGCCGCGTTTTGAATCCGCTCTAGTTTGTCCATCTGACTCTTTGAGACGGTAAGCAGTCCCAGGCCAGGGCAAAATTTGGAGTTATAAATCTACCCAAAATATTTTAGGATCCTTGCCGGTACAATGGAGTTCATGCACTGCGCTGAGTAACTCCAACTCAGACTTCAGTTAGAAGTAGAACGGAGCACTTATGGGTTACTACCCGTGTGCCATGATGTTGACCAACTCCACTTTTCTAACTAAACCAATACAAACATATAATCTGATGTAAGAGTGTAAAAGACCCTTACATACTTTGTAAAGCAGACATATGGTGCTAGACCTATATTTGTACAGACCAATCAGCAAACAACAGGTGATGTGGTTAACATCACCACAGCTGCCTTGACTTCCCAGGACTTTACATGGTACCTGTCTTAGGCTGGGTCAACCTGTGAGCCAGGATCAATTTGGAGAAAAAATGTAGCAATGCAGATTTCAATTCTAGACTTTCAAGCCAGCAGGAAATTAACTAGCTGCAATGCAATGCTACCACGGCTCCCATAATCTGCTAAGATGATCCCAAATGTTTAAATTATGTATACAATCTGGCAAACTGTTAAAACTGTTGACTCCCTAGGAGATGCAAAGAATAGATGGATAATCTAAGCAGCAGAAACTACCCACACACCAGGTGTAAGAGGTAAAGTCAGAAGATGTGAACCAGCGTCACTGCACGTGGTTATAAACCATAAGTTCTCTGCCACCAGTGTGGACAGCTGATAAGAAATTGTCCGCCTGTGTCACTGTCCATATGCAACTCTGTAGCTACAGCGACGGTTCCCCCAATTACCCCTGAGTGTTGACTCTGGTACCCATTACCTAGAGGCTGGGTAAACCCTGGAAACCGCCAGGTTTCGAACACTGGCCGTGAGCTGCAGTGAGTCGCAGCTTGATTTGAAAGCAAGTCTCAAAATAATCGCCCGATAAGGGACATGAACCCTTGACCTTCAGATTAAAAGTTTAATGCTCTACTGAATGAGCTAACCGGGCCAGGATACCAGATGTATGTATGTTACATGACATATCGGACATTTGCAGCTTACCACTTGACAGTTTTTACGCTTGACTTTATTGGAGCAGCAGTGGTGTGGAAGTTGTTGTATGTCACATACAGCTGGGGAACAATATTTTGTCACAAGTTTTTAGTTGTATGTAACACAGAGCTGGGGAATAACAGGGGAATAATGTTTTGTTACAAGTTTTAGAAGTTGTATGTAACATACAGCTGGGGAATAACAGTTGAACAATATTGTTACATGCTTTAGAAGTTGCTGCATATAACATACAGCTGGGGAATAACAGGGGAACAATGTTTAGTTGTACATTTTACAAGTTGTATGTAACACACAGATGGTGAAAAACAGGGAACAATGCTTAGTTACAAATTATAGAAGATGCTGTATGTCACACACAGCTGAGGAATGACAGGGGAACAATATTTAGTTATCTATTTTAGAAGGTACTATATGTAACATACAGCTGGGTAATAAAAGGGGAACAATGCTTAGTTACAAGTTTTAAAGTTGTTGTATATAAGTAATAGCGTTGGCACTTGACAAATTGATTAGGAAAAACAACCTACCTGGCTAATATTTCAGCTCCAAAAAAAACTAGCTGTCATACATTTTAGTTTTCAACCGCTGTAAACTACTGATGCAAAGTTCTGATTGTTCGTCCACTTCTGGAATTGAGCTGTGCATGCAGATTCGCTTTACTGATTTGACTTTGTTTGCAGACTGTCGGATCCTTGACTGTCAGGTAGTTGCACTCTGACTTTGAAGGAAAAGCCTCTAGTTAGTCGCCCCCTCTGGCATGACCGTTGAGGAGCAGTGGGTCGATTCTTCCCAACCCAACCACCCCCCCCCCATACTATTGGGGGTTATGGAACCTACACTGGTAATAATTAAAGGTAAAAAAAAAAAACGCATGTCTAACATTTAAGCTCAAAGAAACAACCCACCTACATGTCTAACATTTAAGCTCAAAGAAACAACCCACCTACATGTCTAACATTTAAGCTCAAAGAAACAATTTACCTAACATTTAAACTTCAACAACTCACCTGTCTAACATTTAAGCTCAAAGAAACAACCCACCTGTCTAACATTTAAGCTCAAAGAAACAATTTACCTAACATTTAAACTTCAACAACTCACCTGTCTAACATTTAAGCTCAAAAACACAACCCACCTGTCTAACAATTAAGCTCAAAGAAACAATCCACCCATCTAATATTTAAGCTCAAACAACCAACCTACCTGTCTAACATTTAAGCTCAAACATCCACCCTACATTTAAGCTAAATAAAAAAATAAAAACCTACCTGTCTAACATTTAAGCTTAAAAGAACCAACCTACCTGTCTAACATTTAAGCTCAAACAAACAACCTACCTGTCTAACATTTAAGATCAAACAACCACCTTACATTTAAGCTAAATAAAAAAATGAAAACCTACCTGTCTAACATTTAAGCTTAAAAGAACCAACCTACCATTTAAGCTTAAAACAACCCACCTGTCTAATATTTAAGCTCAAACAAACAACCTACCTGTCTATAATTTAAGCTCAAACAACCAACCTACCTGTCTAACATTTAAGCTTAAAACAAACAACCTACCTGTCTAACATTTAAGCTCAAACAACCAACCTACCTGTCTAACATTTAAGCTCAAACAACCAACCTACCCGTCAAACATTTAAGCTCAAACAACCATCCTATCTGTCTAACATTAAAGCTCAAACAACCAACCTACCTGTCTATCACTAGAAATGACAGCAACATAATCCTCAAACTGTTCCTCTGGGTGGAACTCCAGCTGCTCATCCACAGAGATTTGTTTATTGTCAGTGGACTGCAGGTCACTTCTTCGCCAGGTGTTTCCACCATCTTCACTCAGGTAAATGAAGTGTTCAAAGCTGATCAAGTACACCTGTTAAAGAGAAGGATACCCTGTATGTATATATTCTTGGATTATTTCCCTTGTGCATACTGAGCAAGCACACAGGTCTGGGTTTATGTGTGCATACTTGGCAAATGTGTGTTGTACATAGCATGAATGAGTGCATGCAAGCACATCATAACATAAGGTGTGTTATAACCACTAATGTTCAGCCTTCCAAGAGCAATCAACAAATTCCAGCGAACTATGAGAGGAAGACAAGATGGTGAGGTTGAATGACATACAGTAACAGAACTGGAGAATATAACTAGAATATCTATAGTTTGGTACCCACAGGGGTATAGAAAAAAAGGCAGAACAAAAAACACACAGAGAAATGAACTAAAGAGTGAAATTAACCTTTTCACCCTGGTGTCATGGAACACATATTGATAGTGGCTTGTAAACAGGGAATTCCTTAAAAAATGTGTAACAAAACAAAACCATTTTACACGGTCACCAAAAGAAGTTATAACAACTCCATTTATCAATCAAAACAATCATTTGGTCAGCATGTCTTAATTAAAATGGGTTACATCAATTTAGAGGTCACAGGTGGTGAGAGTCAAATGGATATTTTGCCCAGGCTATTCTTGTGTGTTTGTGAATGAGCAGGCAGATAGGCTGGCTGGACTGACCCCCAACTGGAGGTGTAATGCAAATGAACAAGGCACAAGTGATCTCTAACATGTGGGACAAGGTAACAGGTGAAATAAAAGATAATGAAAACCAGTACCTGGAGAGGATGATGCAGCAAGGAGTGGCTGTGGGCACCATTCGAGACTCAGAGGGAAGGTAAGATGAGCAGTTAACCAGATGACTACAGGTACTTTCAGCATGGAAACTCTTTGCTGTCTGCTGAGAAGGCAGAAGGGTCTAATATGGGCTTTTTCTGTATGCTTTGATGTCCAATCTTTACCCAGATGACCTAGATATCTTAACTGACAACCTGTTTACTTTACTGACTGCAAGTCTCTTTCGCTTTTGTACTGAGCATCAATTCTGATTTGTATTCAAAAACAAACCACCACAACTCAATCAGGAAACCACCAGCCCCAGCACAAGACAACTATTTTATTATGGACAGACTTAGTCATTATCTTCCACCTCAGAACAGGGCACAGCCGATTATGTAACCACATGTACACAAAATTCAAGATAGGCGCATCAGCCATGTGCATCTGTGGAAAGGTGCCACAGACAGCAGAGCATGTACTCCAGGACTGCACCGAATTTGACGCATTAAGGCAAACCTTTTGGCCAGAAAGAACAGTGGAACGTAAACTCTATGGACCACTTAATGAACTAACAACGGCAGTGAAATTTATACAAGAGACAAAATTGTTGATTTAGACAACTTATTTCAGGCGAATGAAAGAAGAAGAAGAAGACCAACCAACACAACTATATTCTCTCTCTCTCTCTTGCATCACACACACACATATTACCGCAGTGTAGGAGCCATACCTTCTTTGGGTTGTGTGGGTTCCTCTGCAAGCCATCGTCCTTGCGGAAGATTTTGTTATCCACATGACTTGTCCAGTTGTTCCAGTTGCGACCATGGTCAGTACTAAACACAGCATGGCCAGATATTTTTAACACAAGGCAAACTAATCCAAACAGTGACATGAATAAAAAACATCATCTTTTTCTTCTTCTTCAGTGATCTCTGGGCATGCACTTAATCCACTTTGAGTCGTAAGCACTTAATCCACTGGTACGTCATCGCAAGGTCTCCCAGGTTTCCCCAAAGCTTATTTGTCAGGTTTACTTGGTGTGGTCACATGCTGCTTCACAGCTCCTGTTGGAAAGGATAGTCTTGCAAGACATGTTCTGGAGTCTGTTCATCACAATGATACTAACAGACAGCAGTCTGGCCCATATCTAATTTTTATGGTGTTTGTCCAGTGCGCCAGAGAATAAACATTATGAAATAGCCAATAAGAAAGGGGCTGAATGTGACCAGGGCCATTATTCTACACCTCAGGACAGGACATAACAAACTTAACGAGATAATGCACAGGCTTTGTCTCAGTAATTCACCATTGTGCACTTATGGGCTGTGTGTGCAGACTGCAGAACATGTCCTGCAAGAATGTACCTTGTACAACCCATTAAAAAGGAAATACTGGCCCAATGAGTCAACAATGCACTCAAAGTTTTATGGAACTAAAAGGGAACTCCTAAAAACTGTTAAGTTTATCGCAAGTACTTGTCTGTCAGTGTAAATCAAAAAGTGAACACAGGAAAAAGAAGAACGAGGAGGAGGAGAAGATGAATAGGAATAAAAACTGCCAATATAGCAAAACAAACAATAATTTTTAAAACTGGCACATGAAACAGAACAATCAATTAAATCTTTTTGCTTGGTATGTGAGAGCAGTGTTTCAGCTTTGTACAAGCTTCTCTGTGGGCAACAAGCTGCTCTGTGGAGAGAGACTGAGCCACATAGGATAAAACCTGATGTTGATTCCACTCAATTCAACTGGCACCTTACCGTCTGTCTAGACAATAGTGTTATACTGTGCTATGAGGAGGCATGAGACTAACAGACCCTGGTGATAGCAAGTGTGACTAGCAAGACCCGCCCAGTTAGAAAAGTTTTCTATGACTATAACATGAGATGTCAAGACCGTTGTTGCCATTATTTGTACTTTGTTTCTTCTCAGATGCTCAGCTCTTACCCTTTATGCAATCATTTCTATCCAATCTCATTCCCTTCCTGACTGACACCCTGTATGCAACACAGTGCGTGGCATTTGACCTGATGTCAATACCCTCAGTTATAGGCAAATCTAGTGAGTTTCCACCTTGGAGTGGCGGGAAAGCTTAAAAGTTCCATGATCACAAAAAGCTATGATAGAAAACAGGTGTCATTAGAGACAGGGTCTCAGGCAGATCAAAATTAAGGGACCAAGTCCAGAGATAGAAAGAGAGGAAGAGAGAGAGAGAGAGAGAGAGAGAGAGAGAGAGAGAGAGAGAGAGAGAGAGAGGGAGAGAGAGAGAGAGAGAGAGAGAGAGAGAGAGATTAACTCCGTGCAGGCTGACAGGGGACAATCATAGGGAGGATAGAGAATACACATGGTAGAAAAGTCAGTTCCCTAGTAAAAATTTATTGTCATGCATCCATTCCACCACATGTTCATAAACAGGTTGATGCAAGAAGAGTCAGTGAAAACCAGGAACTTCTCTATGGAGAAACCAAGCTTAGACGGATGTAAAGCCCACTGAAAAATGCTAACTTCAGACTCCAGAGAAGTAAATAGACCTATAAAAATGGGTGAGTTCATCATGAAAAAAATCTACCTGTTGAGGTAATCATCAAAGGTTGTGCGGGAGATGGATAAAGAAGAAATTACAGCAAGAAAACCCTAGCTTTTGTGAAACAAACACATGCAGAGACACACTGTGACAGGTCAACTTGTGCCTACCTTCTCCACAGAGTTGAGACTGCTTGTCCAGTACCTTCAGCGTCTGTGGTCAGCACTAACAGTGTCTACGGACAGAGAAATCAGTTCTCTGTAAATCACAATTACTGACCACAGAATAAGGTACTTACCTACCTCAGCTACTTAAATGGTTGCTAAAGTTAGTTTTAGACAAGAATGGATTCTCTCATTAAATGCATCCTAAATAACTCGCCTAACCTTTTATTTTTGTGTCAAGCTATGAGGGTGTTTAAAGTACTGAGCCTGCACATTATCACGGAAGCTAATGAGGAGATCTTTGCAGCTATGGAACTGTCCAGAAAGTTGTGATGATAATCTTCACCAGTTAGTTAATCGACCGATTATCCTTACCACATATCAGACAAAGTCCATAAGCACTTGGATCCCATCTTCAGTATATCTTTCAGTGTGTGCGACAGATAACACCATACCTGTGTAGGTTTACTCTTGGTCTTTATGGAGATCCATGGGGCTGTTGCTGGTGCTAAGGAGTTTGTGCTTTATGTGATACTCCCGGCTGGTGACTTAATAAGATAAAACACAGTGCAATGAAGCCGATTATCTTGATTTCAACTTATAGGTGTATGCTGCCATGGATTGATAGGGAAAACTACTACATAACTTATCCCAAAATAGCCCAAGAGGTAACAGCCATTTTCCCACCTTGAAGCATGCTGGGCATATGATGCAAGTACACGTTATTCTGATATAAACACACTTAGATCCAGATCAGTGCTACAAGATTCTTGCCCTCCGAAAAATTGTCTAATGTATGAAGGGTTAACACATAGATTTTATTGTTGGAGATTATGTTGCAGGTCACATTTTTTTTTAAAAACCTGTATTTTGTTTTAAGTTGTTTGTTGAAGGGATTTGGCACAGATAAATGAGCATTCATAATGCTGGTGCCTTCTATTCAAATGATTGCTTAGCTTTGATAAAGGCTTTCAGTGCACACCAGTATCTTGAAGTGTCACAGTGTCCCTTCATACATTGGACAATTTTTCGGACAGCATGAATCTTGTAGCACTGATCTGGATCTAAGTAGGTTTTCAGTTTTAGTTGCATATGTTTGCGCTATCTATATATTCATACTGCATGCGTAATGTCAGTATGATAACAATTACTTTTCTTCTGGGATACATCTTGTACCTGACATAATAATTGTATGATCAAAAAAATATGGTATCACCCCTGTCAGACAACATCCATGACACCCTTCCACCATGACAAGCTGTGAAGAATCTTCTTTGGTTGTCTTCCTCTCTCCTTCTGTAAATCTTTGCAGTCATCACAACATGTGCCTTTGGAGGTCTCCATAACAAAGGGGTCAAGCTTTTGCCTTGTGCTCTAAAGGTCATGGCTTCATTTCATGACAGAGGCATTCAGTTCATGTGTGCAATTTTTATGGAGATCCGTGAGGATCATTGCCGGAGCTATGGAGTTCTGCAGACAGCTAACTGTTCTATGGAAAGAGACTGAGCCATAATAGAGAAACCATGTGCAACGAAGTTGATCCTCTCATCTTTATCCTTTAACAACATGTGGCCACAAAATGACAGTTGGCTCTTTCTGATGTTTGTAATAAGCTGTCTATTCTTCTGAGCCTCTTAACATAGATAATTATTATTACTACTGAAGTTACGTTGTTATCAACATCAATGTCACTGCACTTGGGCATTTCCATGTGTGATCAGCCTTCCCAACTGTTACTGTTGTAATCCTAACATATTTCAGATTCCCTTACCTCCTTCACAATAAACTTATCCAAGCACAGCTAACTATAGTTTGGTATTATCACCTAGTAGGTCAAAGGTCAAGTTCATTGACAATGATGTGATCATTCACAGGAGAGGGAAGGGTACAACAATGATGGATATGATCATGAATCAACAGACAAATACTGGAGGAAAATACTCACCCCATCATCATTCTGGCCAGCCCAGGCTAATGCTAAGTTGAACTTTGTTTCATTGACAAACACATGCTGAAAAGATAATTATATAAAATCTGCAGTATATGCAAAACTAGTGTGATTCAAGAATAAATGGAGTGCATGTGTGAGTCTGTGTGCACGAGTGTCCCCCATCAGGTTGGACATTTTTCCCATAATGTTACTCCAATCACAGCCCATCAGAGAGCCACAAGATCCTTGCCTCATTTATCTTCTTGTGTAAGCTCCAGGGGTCCCACTGTGAAGGGAAACAAGACCAGACCCACTGTCCCCCCCCCCTTCTTTGAAGTTGGAGTAAAACTGCCTAAGAGGTGAAGAACAAACAGTCTGCAAACAGACAAGGTAGATCTGTAAAATGGATATGCACATAAAACTCAAGTTTGGACTAAGACCAAAGTCCAGAAGTGGTAGTCAGACAAACAACCAGAATTTTTCGGTCGAGTTTGCAGCCAGTAAAGCAAAGAATAACATTAATTGTTATTGCCGTGCCACTTCTGATGCAGGTATCTACTTTCTTTTGTGCTAATCTAACCCTGGAGTCCTGGTTGATGGTAGTTACAGGTTGTAAAATGTTGCATTTCTTCGCAGGCAGTTTCAATTTTTTTTTTTTTTTACCTATGGCAGAGCTTTCCCACTAAGTTTACTTAAAGGCCTAAAGTTTGGAACTGGAAACTGTCACAGGCTAGAGGCTCATGCCCCGCTACAGAAAGATCATTGTTACAATACAATCTGACAGTGATCGGTGGGCACTTGCTAGGCCTCCGTGGGCCACATCTGGCCCATAGGCCGCTAGCTGAATGGTTTTATCTGCACTTTTTTTTTAAATAATTGTATAAAGAAACTGTAAAAGCAATAAAGTGTGTTGTTATATATTGTACATTTAATCTGAAAATAAAAAATTGAAAAACAACAAAAAAGGGGCTATCCTCCGAATAACGGCCCTTAATTATTGTGGTGGAAAATATACCCTAACAGGGCCTGAGTCACGTGTCACTTGCGCACTTCCGTCGTCTTAAATTGCGCACTTCCAGTTACTTCCGCCACGCCGCATGGATTGGGGCTAAACTAGATGGCTGGGACTCACAAGCAGCAGATACCGCATCTCCAGCAGCTTCTTTCATTTTTTTTTGCTTGTGAGTCCCAACCATCTAATTTAGCCCCAATCCACGCCGCGTGAGCTGCGTGGGGGATACTCTCAACGGTGGCGGTATAGTCCCCGGAAGTTCTCAATTCGGTTGCGGCTTTATAGTCTCCGGAAGTGGGCAAGTGACACGTGACTGAGGCTCTGTTAGGGTATATTTTCCGCCTTGATAATATAGGACCGTTATTCGGAGGATAGCCAAAAAAGAAATACAAAAGTAACTGACTAGTATGAGTTTAACATGCAACTCAGCAGCATCATACTCATGATACTGTATACTGTTGGTCTTTTTTTTTTAAGTATTGTAAATTAGTGAATTGTTGCATGTGACCATGTGGGTTTTGTCCCTTTGAAAGCAATTTGCTGGTTTGTGTATGCAATTCTATTTATTATATATTATTTCTATAATTGCAACATTGCTGTCCTCAACAGAATAACTGCATAATTATAATTTGTTGTCTGTTTTGTTATTTGTGTGAAATGTGTGCATCATCCACCAGTGGTTAGATTTGATTTAGTACAGTGAGTACACTTCAGTACACAAACATCAACAAAACAAATCGTTGCGTCAGCTTAGTTTTATTTCCCTTTCAGGTACTTATATATAATTATATATATATATTAGGTTACGTGTATTACTTACTGTTTCCTCCAAACGCTCCCCATTTTTCAGCTTACTTCGCACCTCACCGAAAAATGTCTTCTGTTCCTCACACTTCTTGTCTTTCTGCTCGGACTCGGTGTCCGTCACTTCAACTTCTCTTTTTCTCCGAACTAGCGGTGAGAATTCATCCTCGCTCAAAGTCAAAGCACTGTCCACTTCAGAGGAGTGGAACCGGCGAACTGACCGCGCAGATCTGTGGTTGTGTTTAGAATTACCTAAAATAAATAAACAACATAATAAAAGCCAAGATAGTGATAAAGAAAACATCAACTTCGATCCGGTCGCCATTTTGCTGCTGTGAACGTCACGTGAGATTGTTTTCTATGAGAGTATTTATAGATCAGGGGCATGTCCGCACATGTGATGTCTAGGGGGCATGTCCGCACATGTGATGTCTGGGGGGCATGTCCGCACATGTGATGTCTGGGGGGCATGTCCGCACATGTGATGTCTGGGGGGCATGTCCGCACATGTGATGTCTAGGGGGGAAGGGGGGGGGGGGGCATGTCCGCACATGTGATGTCTGGGGGGGGGGCATGTCCGCACATGTGTTGTCTGGGGGAAGGGGGTCATGTCCGTACATGTGTTGTTTGGGGGGCATGTCTGCACATGTGATGTGTAGGGGGCATGTCCATACGTGTTAGTGTAGGGAGCAAGTCCACACTAGTTAGTGTAGGGGGCATGTCTGCACATGTGATGTGTAGGGGGCATGTCCAAACGTGTTAGTGTAGGGGGCATGTCCACACTAGTTAGTGTAGGGGGGGGGGCATGTCCGTACTTGTGATGTCTGGGGGGGGGGCATGACCGCACATGTGAAGTCTAGGGGTCATGTCCGCACAAATGATGTGATGTGTCATGTACCCACGTGTGAGGTGTACAGATATGTACTACATGTAGGCCTAAGAGCATGACCATGTGAGGTGTATGGATATGTTCCCCTCCCCACTTTCCATTGATCCACCTCTTAGGTGTAGGGTTATGCCACACTTGTGAGGCGTGAGGGAACAATAATGTGAAGGTCATGTTCTCACACGTGTGAGGCGTGAGGGAACAATAATGTGAAGGTCATGTTCTCACACGTGTGAGGCGTGAGGGAACAATAATGTGAAGGGCATGTTCTCACACGTGTGAGGTGTGAGGGAACAATAATGTGAAGGGCATGTTCTCACACGTGTAAGGCGTGAGGGAACAATAATGCGAGGGGCATGTTCTCACACGTGCGAAGCGTGAGAGAACAATAATGTGAAGGGCATGTTCTCAAACTTGTGAGGGAACAATAATGTAAAGGACACGTTCTCACACTTGTGAGGCGTGAGGTAACAATAATGTGAAGGGCATGTTCTCACACGTGTGGTATGTAAGGTCTTGTCTACACATGTGAATTGTAGGTCATTTTCCCATGTGTGATTGTAGGTAAGCGTAACCCCCCTCCCCACCCCCACCCTTTAAATGAGTAGAGTTACCATAATCTTTGTCCCAGGATCTACGGATACTTTTGGAAATGAAAGAGGTGTTACACTGGCCGGCTCTGCCTCAATTGCAGATGGCCGACCTATGAACTGTGCCACTGTTAACACCCTTAGAGAAATAAAAAGATCGTTGGGAGCTATGTGTTCACGTCGCCACTAAAAATACAAAAACTGAGATTACATATCGGCATAGCCAGGCATAACAGGTACAAGTTACGAAGCAAGACCAGCGCTTGCACACAGGGCGACGAACTAACGAAAGTAACATACAGAGGAAATAATGCCGCAATAAACACTAGCAACGGTGAAAACTAGCAATACAACACAAGCCTAAAAATGGGAGTTGTATTTTATGGTCAGTATTAAATGAAGAAACTAACCCTAACACCTCTCCCCCCACCCCTCCCCCCCCCCCCTATTTTTTTTAGACCATAGGAGTGTCCCTCAAGATTGCCTTCGAAATCTCGCGCCCGACGAGATGTGGTGAAAAAGCTGAATTGTACCCACAGCTGATATCATCACTGTATTATCAAGGTTGGGGGTGTTAAATCTCTGACGCTGACTCGACTGCGTGACCTGGGAGTATAGCTTTGTGAAGCACGCCTATGCCATTTGAGGTCAAGACAGGAGACACAATAGCTAGTTTTTGATTGGAATAGTAGAGGTACTACTTTGGAGTAGCTGCTCCATTTGAGGACTGTGCATGAATGGAAATGCCCAATGTGCAGGGACGCCGATTGTGATAACATAAAATATAGACGTGCTTTTTTTATTTCATATTAATTTTTACAGTCAAACCGTTATTGGCACAATCAGGACTGGAACACTGCACGTGCTGTTAAAGATGGGGACCGAGTAATTATGGGATTGCCTGAGTTATAGAATTTTGGCACAGCGATTTTTCAGCTGAATACAATATGGAAGAAGAAAAAAAGCATCGCAGTCAAGGTCAGTATATTCAAATCATTGTTATTGTCTGTTTTCTTATACGGATGTGAGAGTTGGACTCTCACTATGGACAGGGAGATTTAGGCTTTCGAATGTAAATGCTACAGAAGCAATTTACTAATTAGATTTTTAGAACATAAAACTAATGAATATGTCAGAGACAAAAATACAAATTTGCAGGATATCAGGAGCCTCTCTTGGCCGTGGTGAAACGTCGCAATTAACTTGGTCTGGGAATTTGGTGAGACATGGTTCAATTGCAAAGACTGTACGACAAGGAACATTGGCGGGAGGGAAAAAAAAGGGGGGTAGTCGAAGAAGAGCAGGGCAAAGAAGAACCTGAAATGACTCATCAAGAAATAATGGACACGTCTAAATTATCATACACTTATTTATCAAGCAGAAGTCAGAGAAAGGTGGCGGGTTTTATGTGCCAGTACTTCCCTCAATACACCTCCACGACCCTAACGGATTATGTTGTGTACTAATGTCGGTTCCAAACTCAGAACTTATATTATAAATGTTGTTAATGTATTATTTTCTTCTTTGTTATTTAGCACATAAATATTATTATTGCGCAGTTAAACTTGGCTCAAACCCCTTCAGCCATGCACCCGATAATTCGATAGAGGCGAAGGATTCAAAAAGTTTAATCTTTGTTTAACTGCGAAATAATAATAAGATGGGGGGGGGGGGGGGGGGTTTCCTTAAGAAATAAAAAGTGTCTAAAACTGGGGTAAATGGTGATTTAAACATATTTCTGTATGAGGAATCACTTTATGCAAATCTCAACTTTCCCTCATGCCTGTGACCAATCCACTCAGCACAAGTTGTCTGATCTAACCGAACAATTCCCCACAAACTAACCAAGCAACAGGCCGCAGTGAAGGAAGAGGCCTGCAAATAATTAGTGCCGCTCACCCCCTCCCCTCAATATTTGACTACAGACTTCATACTTTAAAAAAAAATGAGTGTTGGTACTAAAGTGTAGCTGTGTAAGCATTAACTACAATGTGATTTTAACACGCAACTTTATGATCTGGAGTCAGATGCGCTACCATTGCGCCCACTAACGTGTTGCATTGTGGATTTGAATGTATTGATTACTGCCAGTGTTAGATGTAGGTATAAGCTAAATGAAATAAACCTCATCTAGTTCCTCACAAGGAGCAAAACCTAAATCAGCCCCTCCAAATGCATTTTTCTTTTAACGTCTTACTCCTCCCCCGCCCCCTTTCCGGGAAAAAACAACAAAATGTTGATTTTACGAAGTCCGGCAAAACTGCATACTAATTGGCCTTTCGGTCCTTTTTACGTCTCCCAACCCAACAACACACTGGTTGACCTTTCATCCATTCTTTCTCAGGCTGGTCTACGTCGGGGGGTTTGGGTTAGGGCAATCTCTGGGGTCGTTGAAAGCTGAGTTGTGTAGTATAGAACACGCGACATCGGCGTAATTGGAGACAATACAACGAGACACCCCTCTGACGTAGACCAACCTGAAAAAGCAAAAAATTAAAGGTCAAACAGTGTGTAGTTGGGCCAGGAAACGTAAATAGGACCGACCTTTCATTCATGCTTGCTCAAGCTAGTCTATGTGACAGGGGTGTCGTGTCCGGTGCTATCAACGGCGATTGTCGCTTGACATACACAGATAGCATGGAGTCTTTGTGCTCGTACGGCCCACGTTCAAGTGCCCAGAGAGACCCACGTAGTAGAAAGCGATATATATAGATATATGTAATTCAAAATAAAGGCAAAACTAAAGAGTTAAATAAAATTTTATTTATCGCAGTTAAACAATAACTTACAGTAACGTCCAAAGTAATGTTTATGTTTGTATAGTCTCACATTATTTATATAAAAAAGTTTTCTCCTGAATAAAAAAGTTGTGTCTTGTATTGTTGTTTTAGTGGTTTATACACACACACACACACACACACACACACACACACGCACGCACGCACGCACACACACACGCACGCACGCACACACACACGCACGCACGCACGACGCACGCAAGCACGCAAGCATGCACGACGCACGCACGCACAGACAGACAGACAGACAGACAGACAGACAGACAGACAGACAGACAGACAGACAGACAGACAGACAGACAGACAGACAGACAGACAGACAGACAGACAGACAGACAGACAGACAGACAGACAGACAGACAGACAGACAGACAGACGTACGTACGTACGTACCTACCTACCTACCTACCTACCTACCTACCTACCTACCTACCTACCTACCTACCTACCTACCTACCTACCTACCTACCTACCTACCTACCTACCTACATACCTACCTACCCACCTACCTACCTACCTACCTACCTACCTACCTACCTACCTACCTACCTACCTACCTACCTACCTACCTACCTACCTACCTACCTACCTACCTACCTACCTACCTACCTACCTACCTACCTACCTACCTACCTACCTACCTACCTACCTACCTACCTACCTACCTACCTACCTACCTACCTACCTACCTACCTACCTACCTACCTACCTACCTACATACATACATACATACATACATACATACATACATACATACATACATACATACATACATACATACATACATACATACATACATACATACATACATACATACATACATACATACATACATACATACATACATACATACATACATACATACATACATACATACATACATACATACATACATACATACATACATACATACATACATACATACATACATACATACATACATACATACATACATACATACATACATACATACATACATACATACATACATACATACATACATACATACATACATACATACATACATACATACATACATACATACATACAT